AGGCCCCAACGGGTGCTGAGCCCCCCCTGGAAAGAGAAAAAAATGTAAGACCCCCCTGGACAAATTCCTGAATACGTCCCTGTTGGTATCTATTTATTATAATTTAGGCATATATTCTGTGTTGGTATCTATTTATTATAATTTAGGCATATATTCTGTGTTGGTATCTATTTATGCTGGTGAGGTAGGTTCTCCAGAGCTTAGAGGAGTATTGGGAGCCATCTGTCAGCTTTTTGTTATACTTGGTAAGATTGACATTGACACAGCAGTTGGTACCTCTTGTATTGTGGATGCCTCAAATTTTAAATTGGGAATTCGGAAGACCCACGGAAATGTTCTTGGCTTTAATATTCTAAGTTGTTACTGTCTCTCTCTATCTTGTTCAGGGAGTTCATTAAATCCGGGAGCATAGCAAGCATCCGTTGTTTAGGTTCTCACCCTCGCTCCTGTTTAGGGTACCTGAAAATTTGCTAACGTCCCTTTAAATTCATTTTACCAAACCATAGTTTGAATGAAAATCTAATATACTGCAACCAGATAATGTTTTAGGAATTGTTTTAATGTACTGCAGTGGGCTTGTTCTGAAATGGAATGAGCTAGGCTATATTGGAATATCTGTAACTGTCGCCTCTTTCATAATTTCCTTGATCATTCCTGAAACCCCAGTATGGTTAGGTGAAAAAGACTTTTTAACTTAAATTTTATTTCAATACATATTTTTATTAAAGTTAAGCTATTCTTCTGGGAGGGGGGGGGGATAACTTCAAAGATAGAAATCTGCAGTTTTTATACTCAATCCATTTAATTTGCCAACAAACTTCAGACTAAACTAAAGTTGTCGAAGGGTCTTGTGCCGAACGAAATCTATTTTTATAGTATAAATATAGAATATATCCCACATATATTGTTTAAATTTAAGCCTTTATTTTTTTGTGAGCCTTCATGAAAAGACAAAAAAAAAGTTTTAGAGTTTTCAAAAAGAATGTTATTTTGTATTTTTCTTTTTATTAAGCAAGACAGGGGAGGTTGGAAGAAGCCAGGGTAGTTCTAAAGTGGCTTCAGAGCACTGATGACGATTCAAAAATTGAAAATGAAATTATCAATTTTGAAGAAAGTAAAACTTGTAAAGGTAAAATTAAACAATATTCTACTTACAGGAACTTTAGAGTGTAGATGTCATTTCACCTTTAAAAAAAGAGGAAGCTTTCGCTGTTTTTCTATAAAAAATGTTTGTTTTCTGTTGCAAAAATCTGCAAGTCTTTTTAATAGAGAAACCACTATTGAAACCAATTAAAGCAAGAAAACAAGGATATCTCAATCATGTTTGGCCAGATTAAGATTTCAAGGGTATCATTGTGAATCAGTCTCTAAATGAAAAGTTTAATTTAAATAACTTCTAAAGTCCCGTTTAGAAATAATTTAAGGTTATATTTTATTGTAGGAAATGGTCCCTTATTTAGACATCCTACTGTTATAAAGCCTGTACTACTGATCTCAATGATAATACTTATAAACCAAGCAAACGGGATAAGTGTTATTATAACCTTCCAGGGACCGAATTAAATATTTTTTTTCAGGGTGGCTGAACTGCCTATCATCGATTCAAATTAAAATCATCGATTCAAATCCTTCTTGAATCTTTAATTTTGACTTTAACTTTAACTTCGGTGGTTCAAATTTGAACCGGAATTAGTTAGTTCAGCTGTAGCTCAAATTCGTTAATTTCGGTGTCAGAATGAGATATTTAGCTCGGCTGGTGTTGATCTCTCATCTAGAGTTTCATCAGTGATTGTTGGGATTTCAATGCTTATATCTACAATAGCTTCATTCTTCGCTGTACGATCATTTGATAGAAAACCATTGCTTGTCAGCAGGTATCAATCAAATTAAAGGGAATGTTGTTGTAATTTTAACCCTCCATTTAAAGATGATTCCTTTTACAACTCCATCTGATTAAAAATGTAGAAGATATCGTCGTTTTTCTAGCCTTTAAAGTGTTTCAGGAATAGAAATCCATTCATTCTTAATCGGTCAAAGCTTTCTAAACTACCTTTGTGAATCTGACATTCCACTCTATAAATGGAGGGTCACTTCTAGTTATATTTACAACCCCTTATTTTATAAAATAATTACATTTATAGGTAAAAACGTGATTACTTTCATGATAAGAATATTCATATTTAAGCGGTATAGATAAACTGAGTTATGATTAAAAGTTGAGTTATATTATGTTTTCTTTAACAAGTGAACAATTTCTTTAACAAGTAAACAATTTCTTTAACAAGTAAACAATTTCTTTAACAAGTGAACAATTTCTTTAACAAGTAAACAATTTCTTTAACAAGTGAACAATTAAGTAAACAATTTCTTTAACAAGTGAACAATTTCTTTAACAAGTGAACAATTTCTTTAACAAGTGAACAATTTCTTTAATAAGTGAAAAATCTCATTCAGTTTAATGATGATGTCTGTGGCAATGACAGGATTTGGAATGTATTTCTATTTTACTCCTGGGCCTAAGTTTAACTGGGTGCCTATTATCTGCCTGCTGGCATTTATTATACCCTTCTGCCTTGGACCTGGACCTCTTACTTGGATTCTTCTTTCAGATCTTAGTATACCTCAAGCAGCAGCAGCAGTTGGTAATAGTGCTTAGTATACCTCAAGTAGCTGCAGCTGTTGGTAATAGTACGTGGTGCTTAGTTTACCTCAAGCAGCAGCAGCTATTGGTAATATTGCTTAGTATACCTCAAGTAGCTGCAGCTGTTGGTAAAATTGCTTAGTATAACTCAAGCAGCTGCAGCTGTTGGTAATATTCCTTAGTATACCTCAAGCAGCTGCAGCAGTTGGTAATATTCCTTAGTATACCTCAAGCAGCTGCAGCTGTTCGTAATATTCCTTAGTATACCTCAAGCAGCTGCAGCAGTTGGTAATATTGCTTAGTATACCTCAAGCAGTAGCAGCTGTTGGTAATATTCCATAGTATACCTCAAGAAGCAGCAGCTGTTGGTAATATTCCTTAGTATACCTCAAGCAGCTGTAGCAGTTGGTAATATTGCTTAGTATACCTCAAGCAGCAGCAGCTGTTGGTAATATTCCTTAGCATACCTCAAGCAGCAGCAGCTGTTGGTAATATTGCTCGATAATCCTCAAGCAGCTGCAGCTGATGGTAAAATTGATTTGTAAACCTCAAGCAGTTCAACCTGTTGGTAATATAGCTTAGTAATCCTCAAGCAGCAGCAGCTGTTGGTAATATTCCTTAGTATACCTCAAGCAGAAGCAGCTGTTGGTAATATTCCTTAGTATTCCTCAAGCAGCAGCAGCTGTTGGTAATATTCCTTAGTATACCTCAAGCAGCAGCAGCTGTTGGTAATATTGCTTAGTTTACCTCAAGCAGCAGCAGCTGTTGGTAATATTGCTTAGTAATCCTCAAGCAGCTGCAGCTGATGGTAAAATTGATTTGTACACCTCAAGCCGTTCAACCTGTTGCTAATATTGCTTAGTAATCCTCAAGTAGCGGCAGCTGATGGTAATATTGCTTAGTATTCATCAAGCAGCTGCAGCTGTTGGTAATATTGCTTAGTAATCCTCAAGCAGCAGCACTGTTGGTAATATTGCTTAGTAATCATTAAGCAGCAGCAGCTGTTGGTAATATTGCTTAGTAATCCTCAAGCAGCTACAGCTGTTGGTAATTTTGCTTAGTATACCTCAAGCAGTTCAAGCTGTTGATAATAATTATTAGTACTCATCAAGCAGCTTCAGCTGTTGGTAATTCTGAAGCTGTTGATAATATTGCTTAGTTTACCTAAAGCAGCTGCAGCTGTTGGTAATAATGCTTAGTATACCTCAAGCAGCAGCAGCTGTTGGTAATATTGCTTAGCTTTATACAGGCTTTACTTTAAACAGATGAGACTACCCTTCACTAAAAAATTTGATTAACAACTTTGTAAAGATTTCTTTTGTATCGAGATAAAAATTCTAGAAATATATTAAATTTCTGATCAAAATTCCCTAAATTCTTATATTTGAAATAAACAGTCTATACTGAATAAATATATTAGGAAGTGTTGCATCTCTCTTAAACTGGGGATTTGCTTTCATCTTTACAACAGGTTTATTCTTTTTTAATTCGTTAATTAAACTTGTGTTTATTTTCCTTTTATCAGCTAGTTTTCTGATAAATTGATCAATTTTTTCCTTTATCAGCTAGTATTTTGATCAATTGATAATTTTTTCCTTTATCAGCTGGTATTGTGATAAATTGAACAATTTTTCCTTTATCAGCTGGTATTCTGATCAATTGATCAATGTTCTCCTTTATCAGCTGGTTTTCTGATAAATTGATAAATTTTTTCCTTTAATAGCTGGTTTTCTGATCAATTGATAATTTTTTCCTTTATCAGCTGGTATTGTGATAAATTGATCAATTTTTTCTTTAAATAGCTGATTTTCTGATAAATTGATAATTTTTTCTTGAAAAGCTGGTATTCTGATCAATTGATAATTTTTTCCTTATCTGCTGGTTTTCTGATAAATTGATCAATTTTTTCCTTTATCAGCTGGTATTCTGATCAATTGATAATTTTTTCCTTTATCAGCTGGTATTGTGATAAATTGAACAATTTTTTCCTTTATCAGCTGGTATTCTGATCAATTGATCAATGTTCTCCTTTATCAGCTGGTTTTCTGATAAATTGATCGATTTTTTCCTTTATCAGCTGGTTTTCTGATCAATTGATAATTTTTTCCTTTATTAGCTGGTATTGTGATAAATTGAACAATTTTTCCTTTATCAGCTGGTATTTTGATCAATTGATCAATGTTCTCCTTTATCAGCTGGTTTTCTGATAAATTGATAAATTTTTTCCTTTAATAGCTGGTTTTCTGATCAATTGATAATTTTTTTCTTGAAAAGCTGGTATTCTGATAAATTGAACAATTTTTCCTTTTTCAGCTGGTATTTTGATCAATTGATCAATGTTCCTTTTTATCGGCTGGTTTTCTGATAAATTGATCAATTTTTTCCTTTAATAGCTGGTTTTCTGATCAATTGATAATTTTTTTCTTGAAAAGCTGGTATTCTGATCAATTGATCAATTTTTTCACTTGTCATAAAACAATATGGATTTATGCATTGATTGATTTCTTGCTTAGTTCAAGTTAATGAACTGTCATCAAATGAAAATTGATTATTGATTTATGGAAATAAAGGTTAATAGATTGCATTTTATTCCATAATAGATTGAATTATGATTGATTAATTCTAAATTTTACAATTTAATAACCAATTCATTATTAAACGAAGAAATAATTATGTATATTACTAGCTGAAATGAAAATGTCATTCCATTCAATCCAGCCGTTTGGCCAGCTAAAGCTAAGTATAACAATATAGGCATATCATTATCTACATACAAATGAGCGAAGAGCTTTATTATATAGATAAATAATGTGTCCCAAAAAAACGCTCTTTTAGGTACTATAACAGCTTTCAACATGGTCGAAATTTTTTTATCTATATGTAAATTTGGCTTGTCTGTCTGTCTGTCTGTTTGTCTGTTTGTTTGTTTGTATCCAATAAACGTCAAAACGGCTGAACCGGTTGGGCCCAATTTTTTGGGGGGGACATCTAGGGAACCCAGGGAAGGTTTATGAATGATTGAAATTTAAAATATTTGTCTCCATCAAAATTCGATCTTCATTAAATTTTTGAAAATTTTGAAAATCCACGAAATTTTTTGTGAAAATCCGCGAATTATTTTTGTTTTGTTTTACAATGTACACATAGAGAACATGTTCACAATTAATTTAGAAGATGGGCGCGAAGCGCCCTCTAAGGCTAGTTATTTTATATTTTCGAAAGGAACTGAGTTTTTGCCACAAACTCTAATTTTCAATCCCTATTTCTTTTCAAACTATAAATTATATTGGCTTGGTTTTGACTTTTTTTGCCAATTCGTGAATCGTGTTTTTCGAGAGCTGTAGTACCTACAAGAACTTTTTTGGACAGCCTGTAATTTTATATAAAAATGCAGTATTTGGCGGAATGGAGGAGATGTTGGGAAAGTGTGGAGTATTCTGGTTCTACGGTTTCAGGTCGAATATTTAAAAAATAAATATAAAATATAATATATAATATATATAATATATAAATCCAGAAAACTCGGAAAACCTTTTTATCAGATATTTTATCTATTTTGTTTTAGTTCAATTATCGGTGGTATTTTTGTGTTATTATTTCTACCAGAAACACGAGGGAAATCTAGGAGGGAAATAGAGCAGATGCTAATGTAAATTATTTTTATATTTTGTTATGAAATATAGTATTGGTTAAACTTTGGGTGTTTTAAGTCCCTTTATAATTCTAATCTTTAACCTATGTCCATGTCTATTAGGGCTAGCCAACGAAATAAATGTCGAAATACTTTTGACCAATAATTTCAAAAAATCTGTCAACCATTTTCGTGTCAAATAAAAGTTCAAATAATCGCGAAAAAAATTTGCTTTTTTTCGAATAAATCGTTGAAAGGAATTGAACACTAGCCGCAGGTTAAAATTTTCCAAACTCTATATCTTTGTATCCTTATGCTGTCATAATTTTATTTTTTAAACTTTGATTAGTGGGTTTAGCAAAATTCAAAGTTTCAAATGTCAAAGGTCTAATAAATCAGATTGCAAAGCATACTTTTCTAAACAGAGGGAAGAGGTAATATTTATATGCATTACCATGGTACACCTTTGTGAACCTGTAGTTCTTCTAGTTTTGATTTTACGCAGTAGTACGAGAATAGCAAATTTATCCGGTATACATATTATATCCGGTGTACATATTATATCCGGTATACATATTACATCCGGTATGCAATCTATATCCGGTATACATCTATATCCGGTGTACATATTATATCCGGTATAAATATTTTATCCGGTATACAATCTATATCCGGTATACATCTATATCCGGTAGACATATTATATCCGGTATACAATCTTTATCCGGTGTACATTATATCCGGTATGCATACCAAATACGGTATATATATTATATCCGGTATACATAGTATATCCTGTACACATTCAATATCCGGTATGCATATTATATCAGGTATACATATTATATCCGGTATACATACTATATCCGGTATACATATTATATCCGGTATACATACTATATCCGATATACATACTATATCCGGTAGTTATATTATATCCGATATACACACTATATACTGTACACATATTTTATCCGATATACATACTATTTCCGGTATACATACTATATCCGGTATGCACATTATATGCGGTATACATACTATATATCCGGTATACATATTATATCCGGTAAACATACTATCCTGTATACATACTATATCCGGTATGCATATTATATCCGGTATACATATTATATTCGGTATACATACTTTATCCGGTATACATATTATATCCGGTATACATACTATATCCTGTATACATACTATATCCGGTATGCATATTATATCCGTTATGCACATTATATCCGGTATACATACTATATCCGGTATACATATTATATCCGGTATACATATTGTATCCGGTATACATACTATAAGTTTAAAACATTTTCGTTCTTCTCAATAGCTCTTTGATAATAAAGCATCATGAATAAAAACATATAAGATTTAAATCTTACGTGAACTTTACTTTAGTTTAACGTGAAGATATAAGATAAAAATTGTGTCGAGTCAATACAGGTTCTAACCCTGACATCAATCTTCATACTAATACCAATACCAGTCAAAATACTCCCTTTAAATCTACATATTTTCCAATATAATCATCTAAATACATACAGTTTATCCCGCAAAACATTACAAATTTAAGACGACCCAGTGAAATAGCATCAAGTACCTCTAAAACTCTAGGAATTACTCGTACAAAATATGAAAATAAATTCTGTTTCTTCTAACTGTTTTGAAGGGTATATTAAATATTTAATATCATGTTTGGTCGTCTTTAAATTTGTATGTTTTGTGTGACAAACTTTTTTTAAAACCTGAAGAAATATATTTGTTGTTGAATGATCATCAGTTGATTCATCTCTAACTCCCCACCTGAGAGAAATTAATAAGAATACATTAGGAAGAGGGGGGGGGGGGTAAGAAAATAAGAATACTTAAAGAAGGAGGGGGGAGGGAGTAAGGAAATAAGAATACATAAAGGTGGTGTGGGGGGGGGGTAAGAAAATAAGAATTATGCGTACAGTATGTTAAAGGTGCACTCGGTACGTTTCAGCACATGATTGAAAGGACTCTCAGTCTCAGCACGTTAAATATAGGACTCTTAGTAGTTGGCACGTTCTTGTAAGTACTCTCAGCAAGTTTATTACAGTAAGTTTTTTTTGAAAAAATTCTTAGTGAATAGTGAATTTTTCTATTTATGCAAATGTCTTGGATTATCATGCGGGAAAATAGGTTTTTCAGAATAAATCAAAACAAAATACATAATTTTCCAAATTATAACACAAGACAGTTGGATACATAAATTTATTCAGTTCAAGTTTCGCAAAAAATGTGTGTTTTTTATTATACGCAAAATAAAAAAGGTCATGAAATTGTGAGTAAAATGCGGGATAAAAATTCTATCAAAGTTGAATAAAAGTCTTTGAATGGTGCACTGTTAGGTCTGTCAATCTTAATTTTCAATGATATTCCATAGATAGAGTGACATGTCTGATTCAAAAAGGCACCATTACACCTTTGTCTGATCAAGCATTAATTATTTATCTATGCTTTTTGTTTTTAAAACTGTCTCAGTTTGTGGTTTCTCGAGAAAAGTGACTTGCGAAGCTCCGTATTTCAGAAGCAATGGAGAAGTTATTTGAATTAAAGCTAGAAAACGACGTTGTCTTCCAGGCAGATCAGAGCTGGGAACTTTAGAATTGATAACCTTTAATCCCAACTACTTAATCCGAATATCCACTGTGGAAACTTTTAATCTTAGCCCTAAATACACTCTTTTTCTGTTCCTTTGGATATCCGTACATTATTTTCTCCAATGAGAGTGCAGGAATAAAGTTCATACATTGTATTGACCAATGGCAGCCTTGAAAATAAATTCTATCCCATGAGAGAAATCCGCAATTTCTAACAAATAAAGAATTTCTTGTCGGCCATTTTGTAAATTTATCGGCAAAGAAAAATATTTAATAATACGTTTGAGATTCTTTTTTAATCAATTTTAACTAATGTATTAATAAATAAATGGGTGAGAAATAAAATGAAGGCCCTTCCAGCCGAGAAACCCAACAAATCTGGCGTTCCTATAGAATCAAAATTGTTGATCAAAATATTTAATCTCGAGATTATGTTAGTCTCGAGATTAGCAAAAAGAGAGGATCAAGCATTAATCCTGATATCCACCATTCTTAAATTCCCAGCTCAGATCAAGGTTTCAATGGTACCGTTGTGAATCGGACATGCTCCTCTGTTTTTTTTTAAATGTGGGGTCACTCAAAATTACATCGATATTTAATGATAATTTTCTAGAATCTTCACCACAAAAATAGCGACGAGGAAACAATAAAAAAAAATTTAAAATTAACGTTGATTTGATAAAATTGATCAAATTTCATTGATGTGACTCACCTCACATCGATCATCTGGAACTCAATTCCATATGTATCCCTAGCAAACAAAATCATAATATGATTTTTTTTCGACGAATTAGATGATTAAAAAGTAAATACAAATTTTATGACTTTTTAAAAGTGGATATTAGGTGAAATTAAGCTTCCAAAGTTTTGTCCTATTTTTACTTTTAATCTGTCAGCATTTCTTCCAACTTTTTTACAGGACAATAATAATAATAGGAAAATATTACCGCTTTTCCTTCTTATTTATGATTTTTAAAAATCAAGTCCAACAAAAGTTTGGAGGCCCAACTAAAGTTTGGAGGTTTAACTAAAGTTTGGAGGTCCAACTAAAGTTTGGAGGCCCAACTAAAGTTTGGAGGTCCAACTAAAGTTTGGAGGTCCAACTAAAGTTTGGAGGTAGAACTAAAGTTTGGAGGTCCAACTAAATTTCGGAGGTCCAACAAAAGTTTGTAGGTCCAACTAAATTTCGGAGGACCAACTAAAGTTTGTAGGTCCAACTAAAGTTTGGAGGTCCAACTAAAGTTTGGAGGTCCAACTAAAGTTTGGAGGTCCAACTAAAGTTTGGAGGTCCAACTAAAGTTTGGAGGTTCAACTAAAGTTTGGAGGTACAACTAAAGTTTGGAGGTCCAACTAAAGTTTGGAGGTCAACTAAAGTTTGGAGGTCCAACTAAAAGTTTTTCTCTTTCAAAAGAATTAATAGCCTAAATTTGACTCACATGCAATACTTCTTGAGTTGAGGTTGAACTTCTTGAAATAAAACAGATTTCTCCAGAGTCATATCGGTATAGGTAGAAGAAATGTACACCTTCACCGAACTGTATTATGAACAAAATACTGTATAAAATGTCAATTGTTTTTCATGAAACACTTTATAAAATAATTCTCCATTATTGTAAAATAGTAAAAAATATTGTTTCTTAAAAAACAGAGCATTTGTTCTCTCAAATGATGACAAAATATAGTATTTCTGTCCTAGGAGGGGGAGGTTTTAAATCTGTCAGGTCTGAACAGAAAATCCTAATTTTCCATTCTTCCTCCATTTTATTTGATCTAAATATTTGCGAAGTGGAAACTAATAAATAAGATGGAGTAAAGACTAATCTCAAACAGATATTTAGGAGTTTAACTCACTAGATTTTAAAGGGAGTGTTCGCGAAAAATGAAAGGGGGGATAGGCTTAATGCGATAAAAAGTGCGTTTGATTGCTACTAATCTTACTTCTATCTGTTGCGTCTATAAGGAGAAAATTGTCAAAAACGACTAATACCGAAGAACGTAGTGTCCATACAAATTCAGAAAGATGCAACATACGACTTAGACCGTAAAAAAATCTATTACAACCTATAGTCATCGATTATCTTTCCCCACATTTGTATATTGTTGATTTTTCATAATATGTTTTGATTTTATTTTTTTAAATAATATTCAGCTTACAACTTGTTTTCGAACATTCCTGGAAAATACTAAAATGTCGTCTTCATTGCCAAAAATCCCCGAAACAGGAATATATGTTTTTATAAGTAACTCTCAGATCATATCAATTAAAACATATTATGAAAAATCAACTATATGTGTCAGCTAACAGAAAATGTAACAATATAAAAGATTGGTTAATCTTGCAAATTAGAGTTATAAAATTCGGTGATGCTGATAGACCAAACCTCTATATAGTTAAATAGTAGATGTTAGTTCCATATTTTATTGAAAATATTTTTCGGTCTGGGTTGACCCTCGTCAGTTCTTGAGATTGTTTCTGTTATGAATATTCAAAACAGATTATATATCTCTTATATCCCTTCATTTAAATTTTTTGGATCAGTAACTTTTAAAAAATGCTCAATTCAAACAACGCATAATTAAGAAAACAGCCAAACTTCTTTCGATTTAATACTTTTTAATGCTAAAAAAAAAGGTATTTTGTTAGATTGATGTAGATGGCGTTTAATTTTTGAATTTGTCATTAAAGTTATAAACAGAATTTAGTTTCTTTTTCGTAATTCAAAGAAAAATTACGGATCTATTTTTAAATTTTGAATAGATTATGAGAGTTTTTCATAATAATTTATAATATTTTTTATTAATGTCTTTTTTAAATAAATTTGAATAAAAATTTAAGGAAAATTAACGTTTTTTTTATTTAAAATTAAATAATGTTGTATTTGAAAAATGAATCGGTTCACAAAGTTATGCCAACTGCCAATTGATATAAAGAAAATTGGTCGCTTTAATTTTTGATTAGAAATTAATTTATATCCACCATGTTGTCTATCTCTGTGGTGAAATTGTAGCCGTCTCATTGTTTTTAATAAAATGTCTGAAACACTTTTCCAGGTTTTACAAAGTTAAAGTTCTCCCTTCTAGGGATTAAAATCTATTCAGTGTATTTCACGAGGGGGTTGTTTCTCAGGATATTTATTGATAAAACTGAACTGTCAAGGTTTCATTCTAAATTCATTCTTTCAGGGGCAAATATAGTTCACAAAATAGTTTACAACAGGGATTTAAGATATTTAAATCACTGAGAACTAGTTAGAAAGAGAAGGGCACATAATTTGGTACGACTTTGTGACCTTGTAGCTCCTCTTGTTTTGATTTTATTCACAAGTGTGAATAACAGCAAATTTATTTGGTACATGTTAGAAATTCAAAACATTCTTTTTCCTCTAACTAGCTCTAATGTTTAAGAATATGTAAAATTTCAACCTTACCCGTCAGGAAATGAGTCTTTGCCACGAACTCAAATTTTCTAATCCCTATATCTTGGCAACCTGATGGTGTAGACTTTTGATTTTTCAAACTTTGGGTAGCAAACATATAAGGTCTAAAAAATCAGAGTTTGTGGCAAAGACTCAATTCCTTTGACGTGACGGAATGTGGTTGGTAACAAATTCAAAAAAGAGAATTAGAACTGAGGCTAATTCTCTAATTAAAAAATCGTAAATTTTTCTATTATGGTCAATTTAAAAATTGGAAATGTCGACATTGTTTTCAATTTCGACTGTCCAGCCATGTACAGTTTACCTGTAGTGAGTTGCCACAGAGAATTTTGAACCCATATCGGGCGTAACCCCCCCCCCCCTGAGATTTCAGAATAGATTCTCAATAGCACTAGGGAAAGAAACCCTAGTGGAAAACATGAAAAATATCTTTCTTAAAAAAAATAATAACCTTCTACAGTCTTCATTTACCAGAACTTTAAAAAAATCGGAAATTTTGAAAGATCTCTCAACTTTCAATAAGAATATCTTCCCTCTAGCTCATATACTTTTTAAGATATGAAATAACCTTCCACTTGATTTTAAAAGGAGTGCCTTGGTACTCAGTAGGCATATTCAAAATAAAATTGTCAGAAATACTTTTTTATTCCTTCATCACAAAGTGCAATAAACCTCTTTGCTATTCTTGCAAAAAAAATCAATATAATATTGGTAAGATTTTTGTACATGCTTAATCTTATACATTTACATTTACGCTTTTATGTGACACCTTGTAAACTATATTAATATTTAAGTTATTGTAAACTTGAATATCATAGTAATATTCAAAATTTTGTAAACGTTATTTTTTATTTATTAGTGGGGATAATACCCAAAACAGTGTTATAAACTAGCTAATCTATTTGCTATAGTACAAATACATATTTACAATAAAAAGTTGCACATTTGTTGCCTGTAACATAATAATTGTTATTAGTGTTGTTAGCAAATAGATATATCGTATCTTACAGACAAATGCTTTTAGAGCGCTTTGCCGTTTCGCCGTTTTGACGTTTATTGGACACAAACGGCTGGACACCCAAACACACACCCAGACAAGCAAATACAATAATAACTGTGCCAATATGATTGTTGGATATATTTCCAATAGAAAAGTAGGACATCATGATACCGACAATACAACTTATACATTAATCATTCAAACTTTCTTTAATCAATTGGCCGGACTTTTGTTGTAAATTCGAATGACCCGCCCTTTTAAAAAAAATGAGCATTTCCGATTCACAACAGCATACATGAACCTTAATATGATCAATAATGTGGAAAATTCGTGGACAACATCTTTAAGGGCACCGTTGTGAATCTGACATTTCACTCTATCAATAAAGGGTCAATTGAAATACGTGTATAGTCCCTTTTAATCCTTTCATTCAATCTTTTATTCATTAATACTTTCATTTGCCTTCTTGAATACATTCGCCAATCTATTTTATCTATTTATGTAAACATGTACTTTCACGGGCAGCCGTAGTACATTTAAATTTCAGAGCCGGGTCAACCGGTTCCAGTTTGTACTGTACCTAGCTGTACCTAGTTTAGTTAGTATCCGAGGAGGATAAAAACATTAAATTTTCATAATTTTGAAAATTCACATAATAGTTTCCTAAGACCAGAATATTTCATATATTATTTTGTGAAAATGGATTCCATGTCAGGCTTCGACATCCGTCTTTTGTTTACTTTTCCGCCCAAAGAAAGTACACTGCAGTACAAAAAATGCGTACACCTTTGAAATAACTTTCCTTGCATTAGTACCTTGTCTGATGTGAAAAGGTATTTTTTCTATTGCGTATCAAAATTATGGATAGTTCATCCTTCATTGATAATTCATAAAATTTGTCATTCATAAAATATTCTTAAAAAGTTTTTACCGAATTTTTAAAAAGTTTTACATATTTCACTCTGTGTTAACGTAGTTTAAAGTTAGAATTTTGAATATTTTAAATTTTAATTTTTTGTCAGAAATATTGATTTTTTTTGGTATAAAGCAAGTTTTCTCTTTTAACTCTTTGGTGGAAAATAAAAAGTTGCCACGAGAATTTGGACAATTTTGGCCTTGTTCCGCCGATCTAGATCTGATTGATATTATCCAATTTGTATGAGATTCTGTCAATGTTTCATCAGATCCGATCAAACTAATATATTTTTTTAACAAAAAAGCAAAATGTGATTTATCCATATCATGGGGAAAACCAAGTGAGCAATGACATTTTTTATTACTTAACGTTTCTTAGTTTTTTTTTCAGATTTTCTTGTATCAATGATTACACAAACTTCAGTAAAAGTTATTTTCAGAAACACTTTAAATAAGTCTTCAATATAAAGTTAATATGGTTTTATTGTTACTTGTACTAAATCTATAAAATGACTAAAACTGTTACAAATGATTAGTTACGATAATGTTAAATGACACTTTAAGTTTCATATTTACAAAGTCTATTACTAAACCTATTATTTATGATAGGTAAAGTTAAACTACGGTCTTCAAATTAATCAGATTTCAACAATTTTTTTAAATCATCTAGTCAAAAGTTTATTTTTTTTTCTTCAATTTTATCGAGCAAAGATTAACCTGAAAGATAAATTCATATTTCTAAAAATTAGGTTGAATAAATGGTATATACTTTTAAAGAGGTTCTTTAAGAAGTAACACAGACGGTAATGTTAAATGCCATTTTCCCCTTTATTTCTCTAAAGAGTATCTTAGTATGTCATAAATGTAAGCAATAGCACTTCTCAAGCAATCTGTTACAGAAAATGAAAAGTTTTTTATAAATCTGAATTTAGAGTACAGTACGTTTTCTGAACTGAAGAGGGCTCTGAACTCTAGAGTCTAGAGAGTGTTACTAGCAAACTGTTCGAACTCGTCTCTGCTTAGTTTCTGAACTCCTGCGGGAGCAAGGAATCGATGTTTATTCTTAGAAGTGATCAGTTTTATATCCTGAAACAAAAGTAGATATTCATATGCTTTAAAAAGATTATCATATGTATCTTTATTTTTAATATCTAAAGTTAATGTTTAATATTTCCAATGTTATTTAACTTCTTCTTATTTTAATGTTACTATTTTATATGTCTATTGTCGTAGATTACATTATTTAATATTATTATTATCATTAATATCATTGCATTCTTTTAAACATACTCAAATTCCCTAAAAGTAATCAGCATATTTTGTACCCTCAAAATTTAATAAGATATTATGAATTTAATCCCAGTTTTACTTTTTAAATGATAGCTTTCGATATATGAACATTGTAACACCAATACAGAGATTTCTACTTTTTAAATTGTAAAGAATACAATTATCAAATATTTTAATATTTCCTTTATTTCAATATTCATACCAAGTTTATTGCTGATTGCATTTTATATCTATATATTAAAGGGACTGTTAGCGTAATTTCAAGTGACCCTTCATACTAAGATAGCAATGTCTGATGATCAAGTATGAATTAGATATCAATGTTATATCAGATTATCTTCAATTATGGGTTCTTTACAAAAGTGACTTGCGCATTTCTAGGAAACAATACCAGAATTACATATCAGAATTACGCACTTTAAACCTGATAATCGACCAGTTTCTTCACATTGGTGTTTCAAGTGTACCTTTCCATGGAATGAAGGGTCACTTGAAATTACGCTTACAGTCCCTTTAATGTTGATCATACCTTAAGATATGAAGGTTTCTTGACTGGAGAACTATCAACCAAACCAAACCCAAACCCAACATTAAACTCAGGCAGATCATCCAGAGGAATTACTAGATATTAAGGATGGGCATGTTGTTCATTTTTCTAATCCGTGCGTTAACGGTTATGTTAAATTAACGTGAGGCAGCTACGCCAGATTCACATAGGTTAGACTACAAGTCCTGGTTAATAACTTTACTTATTAAATTTAGGTTTTTCGTATTTATTACTTTAGACTTCTTTGGCCATTTCATTAAAATATGTAATCATAACAAAGTCTTTCACGCTATTTTTGATGGAAATATTTTAAAACATGTACTATGTTGTAGTTAATTTTTTGAAGAAAGGCCCATCAAATCACCGTTAGATCACTTCATTTTAAACTTGTAGTTTTAAAAAGTGAAAATATATGATTAAGTTATATACTTGTACTGGATACAGATATCCTAATCTATACTGTATCCTAATACCTGTACTGGATACAGGTATCCTAATATATACGGTATCCTAATACCTGTACTGGATACAGGTATCCTAATATATACGGTATCCTAATACCTGTGCTGGATACAGGTATCCTAATATAGACTGTATCCTAATACCTGTACTGGATACAGGTATCCTAATATATACTGTATCCTAATACCTGTACTGGATACAGGTATCCCAATATATACGGTATCGTAATCCCTGTACTTGATACGGGTATCCTAATCTGTACTGTATCCTAATACCTGTACTGGATACAGATATCCTAATCTATACTGTATCCTAATACCTGTACTGGATACAGATATCCTAATCTATACTGTATCCTAATACCTGTACTGGTTACAGATATCTTAATCTATACTCTACCCTAATACCTGTACTGGATACAGGTATCCTAATATATACTGTATCCTAATACCTGTACTGGATACAGGTATGCTAATATATACGGTATCCTAATACCTGTACTGGATACAGGTATCCTAATATATACGGTATCCTAATCCCTGTACTGGATACAGATATCCTAATCTATACTGTATCCTAATACCTGTACTGGATACAGATATCCTAATCTATACTGTATCCGAATACCTGTACTGGTTACAAATATCCTAATCTATACTGTACCCTAATACCTGTACTGGATACAGGTATCCTAATATATACTGTAGTCTAATACCTGTACTGGATACAGGTATCCTAATATATACGGTATCCTAATACCTGTACTGAATACAGCTATCCTAATCTATATTGTATCCTAATATCTGTACTGGATACAGCTATCCTAATATATACTGTATCCTAATACCTGTACTGGATACAGGTATTCTAATCTCCTCTGCTGTCTCCTCCTCCCCTGTACTGAGCCTGTACAGTGTAGGTCCTCCTGTACATAACCCAAACAGACAGAACAGTACAATTTTCATTTTTAATCTACGATATGTTCACTGTAGGTTGTATATTGTAGGCTGTACATTGAAGGTTGTACATTATAGGTTGTACATTGTAAGTTGTACATTGTAGGTTATACATTGTAGGTTGTACATTGTAGGTTATACATTGTAGGTTTTACATTGTAGGTTGTACATTGTAGGCTGTACATTGTAGGTTGTACATTGTAGGTTGTACATTGTAGGTAATACATTGTAGGCATTACATTGTAGGTTGTACATTGTAGGTTGTACATTGTAGTTGTACATTGTAGTTTGTACATTATAGGTTGTACATTGTAGGTTATACATCGTAGGTTGTACATTGTAGGTTGTACACTGTAGTTTGTATATTGTAGGTTGTACATTGTAGGTAGTAAATTGTAGGTTGTACATTGTAGGTTGTACATTGTAAGTTGTACATTGTAGGTTGTACATTGTACAGGGTGTCCCAATAAACATGGAACTCAGTGACGAATTCGATATCGTCTTTTTAAATAATTCTTTGATTTAGTATAGTGATACCTGCTGAGAGAGCTGTAATCTGTAAGAGTTTCGTCTGCTATGTTCACATTTTGTTTGTTTATGTTTTGACTAGACTGCATACAGTTGTACTTAGTAAAACAAGAAAATTGCAGTATACAAACAGAGTAAACTTGTCCGTATTCACTGTTCATCTTGCGGAGACATTATAGACACATCTTTACAGTCTTTTACCCTTTTCATAAAATACGCTCTAGCAGACATAATTATATAATTGGTTTTGAAATTAGGTATTACAAGCTAATTCATAACAAACACGATATCGAATTTGTCACTGAATTCCCATGTTTTTTGGGACACTCTGTAGGTTGTACATTGTGCACAAATAGACAAAGTTTGTAAATAAACAATGTTATTATTCACAAAGGTTAGAAGGGTATCGTTGTGAATCGGACTTTGTGAATGTAACTTTTAAATTATGTATTTAATGTTAGGTTTTAAGAAGTGTTCAATTAATCGGTTTAAAACACAGATGTTTCAAAAGATGAGTAACTCAACATTAACAATCTAAACATATTATAAACAAATGGTTGGGTTTGGATAATTTCAGGTTTAAAATTTCAAGATAAATTGGTTTTAAAAGTACACTTCATTATTTAGCTTGTGAAGAAAAAAGGAAAATGAATATATAGATGGATAAATAATATATATATATATACAACCCTGATCCTTGGTTCAAATACACCTACCTACCTGCCTGGTTTATCATTGTTGCCTACACACATATACTTGGCCTTCACACATAGATTGATAGATAGATAGGTGAATAGTAGATGTAAAAAAATAGAAAGACAGAGATCATGCGTAGATGCTAGATAGATATATAATGAGTTAGTTAGATAAAGATATAGATATATAAATATCGATAAATAGTTAGAATGAAAACTATTTTTGAAGATAGATATACAGACAGATAGATAGAAAAAAATATAGATGCTTAGATAGATAGATAATAAAATAATTTGATGATTTTCTTGTGGAAAATACTAGTTTTTTCCGCGTATTGAGGTTTTATTTTGGCTTTAAAGCTTGGAGAGAATCTAATATGATATGGGACACTCTGTAGAAGACTAGCTTTCAATCTACAGATCTTGATATTTAAAAAAAATTGAGGTCTTTCTTTTAGTCGCATTCTTTGTGGTTCACCCTATATCTTCCTTATTTATTAATTTTCTATACGAACAGAGATATATTTCATTTTAAATGTAAAAGTATTAAACAATTGTTAGTTTGAAATAAAAACTATTTCATATATTTTTGAAAAATTATATAAATGAGAAAATTTTTTATGTAAACGGGGTCCGTTAATACACCTTGGCATTACTTTTTTTAATATAAGTGTAGCCTTCGTGATCTCATGTTTATTAACTGACCCTGCATGTTGAGTATCTAATGTAAAACAAACGCAATAAGAACAATAAAAATAAAAGTTTTTTTTAAATGGAATTTTTGAAATCAAAATATTTCTAAATCTATATTTACATCAATTTTTATCATTTCCTAAGATTTCATAATTATTTGATATTTTTCATAATCATAAAACCAATTTTCTATTATATTTTACAACATCGAGTACATTATTTTTATCTAAATATTTCTGAACATTTTATGAAAACATATTCACATCAATTTTTTTTAAATTTCAATATCATAATAATACTTATTGGCTTAACTAGAAGTGTACACTGTATAGAAATTAAAGCAAACACTTTATATACTGTGGATGTAAACTTTACATTATGTAAAGTGACAACTACAATCAGTGCCCACTGTACATGCAGTGACAACTACATGCAGTGCCCAATGTACATGCAGTGCCTTACTGTACATGCAGTGACCACTGTACATACAGTGACCACTGTAAATGCTCAGCTTTGAAAGAAAACGGAAAAATACTTTTAATATAAAAATAAATTAAGTTTTTTTGTATAATTTAATATATATACATCTTCATAACGCCGACATTATTTGTTGAAATATTTTAAACATACTTTTGTAAAACCTTCAGAAGCAAAAATAATCCATAACAGAAACAAAGTCTTTAGAAAATTTTAATCAAATTTTTAAGAATTTCAGTTCTAAAATACAATTAATTAAAAGAAAAATTTTACTTCAATTCAACGACGAGGTGCAATTTTTCTTCGAATTCAAAAATTCCTTATTTTAATTTGTTGAATTTCCAAATTTTATTTATATTTTTCATTGGAATAATACTAATATTTGAAATATTCTCTTCCGATAATTGAGAAAAAATTTCTATTATTCGAATTCTGTTCAGAATTAACTATTTTGGCTGGATGAGATTTCGCATTACAGGATTTTAACCACTTTTATTTCTAGTTGAAAAAGTCATTATTCTATCATAACAGAAACTTTAAAATTAAAATATTTCCATTTGAAATATTTTGAAATTTAAGGTTTTTGGTTAATAGAAAACATGAGTTTTTTAACTATTCTTTTAAAACTATCGTTTAAGTTACATAATTTTAATCTACAGATTTTATGTCAAATGAACTAAAAATGAATCACAAACTGTTATTTTCTAATTCCAATATCTTTGTAACCTGGTGACTTAAACCTTTGATATTTCAAACTTAAACTATAGATCCAACAGAATGTATAGCATTAAATAACAAAGGTCCACAACATCAGTTTGAATTATACACTTGACATACCACTTAAAAATGTCGAGTTTCGGACAGAAATGTTAGAGACACAGAGAAAATTTAAGTGAAAAAATGTTATAACAAGTTGTGCTAAACAACTATGTTATTTTATGAAATGCTAGAGTACTTGGCTTGATGCAATGGTCATTTCTATATAATAAGCTTAAAAACAAAACAGAGATAAAAAAATAGTAGTTATTTGAATTTCATTTAAATCTAAATTTATATTTATTACAAATATTTTATTTTTTTTTTTATCTGGGAACCATTACAACTGTATAGTATACCGTGCTATAATAAACAGCTATTTTAATGATTAATTTATAGCACATTTATAATGAAATTTACCATGAAGTGACCATGAGTGATAAAGTACACAATAGTTTCATAAATCTCTTTTACAGTCCTGTTAATGAATTATTTAAAGGACAGATCTCCTCGAATTATATTATTTAAAGGACAGATCTCCTCGAATTATATTATTTAAAGGACAGATCTCCTCGAATTATATTATTTAAAGGACAGATCTCCTCGAATTATTCTCTTGAAAGTGTTCTTAAACTGCTGATTGGATGCCGCGTAACAGAACGGATTCATTGGACTAAAATATAATCATAAATAAAATAGAAATCTAAGAGAAAAAAACTTTTCCTTGAAAATAGTAAATTTATATATATATACTAATTATTAATTTTTAAAATAATGAAACTAAGAAATTAAAAGTAACGTGTACTGTTCCCACAATGACTTTAAAAATTAATGGACAGAATTTAAACACCCTTTTTTCATTGTTTACAGCATCTGTAAAACTGTTTATTTTTTATTTTTGTGTGTTTAACCCTTATTTAGAAAGTTCGAAATTAAAGTTAGGCATAAATCTAATATTAAATTCGTTTTTTCTAATATTTTGATCATTATTTCTAACATTTTGTTCATTATTTCTAACATTTTGTCCGTAATTTCTAACATTTTGTTCATTATTTCTAACATTTTTTTCATTAATCCCAACATTTTGATTATTATTTATAACATTTTGTTTATTAATTCTAACATTTTGTATATTATTTCTAACATTATGTTCATTATTTCTAACATGTTGTTTATTATTTCTAATATTTTGTTCATTGTTTCTAACATTTTCTTTATTAATTCTAAAACATTTTGTTTATTTTTCTAATATTTTGTTCACTGATTCTAACATTTTGTTAATTATTTCTAACATTTTTATTTTATTGTTTCTAAATTCTAACATTTCTAACAAAATTATCGCAATTTCTAAATTCATTATTCAGACAAAATGTTGTTGTTTTCAAACTGTACATTTTGTACATGTTTACCTGTTCGCGTAGCAGAGGAAGTATGAGAGCATGTACACATGTACATTAATACAATTTGGACAGAAGGAAGCTACAATAGCCAGTATATGGTAGGGGGTCCAACAGGTCACAAACGCACCTTAATAACATTTTGTTAAGGAACTGCAGAATTCATTTCTATAGTGGTCACTGGTTCACCGAATAAAGCGTTGCTTATCGTTAATTTTGAATGATTGATCTTGATTCTAGAAATCCAATAAATTTGAGGATAAATGCTTGATCCCTGCCGGGTTTAACCACCAAGGGATATCAAAGAGAAATTAAACTAATCTGTATAGAAGTTGGAAATAAATGCTTGATCTAGAGTGCTGACAACAGATGAAGGTTTAAAGAAAATTGTAATTCAGGCCCATTCCACTTTAAATGGAGGGTTACTTGAAATTTCGTTAACAGGAATTAATATAAACATTTTCTAAGTATGAAGTAAAAATGATTAATTTTTTTAAGCTTCTTAACAGATTTTATCATGATATATAAAAGCAAAATTAATTTTTTAGATTGAAATCCTTACTCAGAACCATCAAGTGTGGTTTAAAAAGTGGTCCAAAAAAACAAAAATTATGAAGTATTGAAGTCAAAAAATCCTTCCGGTAAATCCAAAGAAAATAATTGTTTTTTTATGCATACTTACCTAAGATAAGAGATATTGTTTTTAGAGCTTTCCTCGCCCTATTCTCTGTTTTCAGTTTCTCCTTTTTCTTCCTCCTAAACCTTATCTTATTTCCAACTCTGTTCACCCAATCTTCTCTGAACAAAAAGATTAAATTTATCCGTTTTTCTTCCTCCTAAACCTTATCTTATTTCCAACTCTGTTCACCCAATCTTCTCTGAACAAAAAGATTAAATTTATCCGTTTTCTTCCTCCTAAACCTTATCTTATTTCCAACTCTGTTCACCCAATCTTCTCTGAACAAAAAGATTAAATTTATCCGTTTTTCTTCCTCCTAAACCTTATCTTATTTCCAACTCTGTTCACCCAATCTTCTCTGAACAAAAACGATTAAATTTATCCGTTTTTCTAATCTTTCAAAATTACTAATGATTTTAATTCTACTGCAAAATTCGGTTTCATTATTTTAAGATGGGAAAATTTAGAAATTGCTCTTGCTAACTGATAGAAAATCAATAATTGTTAAGTTGTTTTTAAAAAAAATTCGCTATGCGGCTCCTTGGAACAATTTTAGGTTTAAATAGTAGATTTTGTTACAGGTAACTTATATTTGGACATCTTTTAAAATACGTAAACGACATTTTTTCTTAGAACTTGTCCCCTCACGATTTTATTTCCAATTGTCTTTCCCCAGAATTTGTTTTACCATGACTATCTTTACATAGATCCGGTTTATGAACATATACTCGTCAATTTTCAATATTCTTTTAGCAAAAAATCTCTATGCATGATGATAAATTTTTCAGAACTTTTCTTCGGATTGTATAAACAATTTTTGGAAAAAACTTTGCTGTATGAATAAATTATCTTCAAAGTTTGAACGGCTTCGCATTAAAGTTACAAAAACAAAAATAATTTACTTTTAAGCGGGTATTTTCGAATTTTACCAAGCCGAGCACTACAGTAGTCTTAAAAATAATATACAAGTCAAAGACGTCTTTTTGTCCAAGAAGTCCAGACGCCCATTTTCAAAACTATCAAGTTTTCTTTGTCACTCTTTCGTTTGAAATATCAAACAGTGGAGTTATGATGTCACAAACTCGTACAAGTAAAATAATTAAATGTATATATAAAACATTACCTGGTGGTGCTCCCGGCATTGGAAAACTGCTTGGATTCATCCACCTAAACAGTGCACAGTGGTTTAAATTCTTAAAAAAATAGTGGATACATTCGTTAAAAATATTGGATACACACTGACAAAGTGGTTTAAATCCTTTAACATGGTGAATACACCGTGGTTCAAATTCTTTAAAATTATGGATAAAAAGTGGATTAAATTCTTTGAAATTGTGAGTTTGAGTTTGAGTTCTTTAAAAACGGTGGATACACATTACATACTAAACTGTGCTTTCAGTTTGTTAAAATGATGAATACACTGTAATTTTAAATCGTTAAAAATGGCAGATACGCAGTGGTTTTTAATAGTTAAAAATGGTGGATACAGACTGATTTAAAATTGTTAAGTAGTTCGATACATAGTGGTTTTTAATTGCTAAATTTGGTGGATAAACAGTGGTTTAAAATTCGTTAAAAAAAAGTGGAAAGACGGTGAATTAAAATCGTTAAAAAGGAAGAAAAGCGTCTTAAAAATGTCGTCACTCGTCAGCTGAAAAAAATCACAAAAAATGGTAGATGCAACACTGCATAGACACAGTGGAGAATTGATTAGTTTCATATTTTGCGTAATTTTCATAAAATGGATAAGTTTCAGCAAACAGTTCTCTAGAATGGAAAATTTGCACTTTTAATGTTTTGAAATTTGAAATTAATGAGATTCATCTTTCACAATTACTTATATTTAATAGAACTTATATTTCATAGAACTTTATTGCTTAAAAAGTTAAACGAAAACATTTATTAATATTTAAGAAAACCCTAATTAATTCTTATATACATTTCAAGGGATACGTTTAAAACCAAATTGAGACTCCACCCCAACCCTTCCTTAGATGGCTAAATTCAAAGACTATATTTGAATATGTGCATGTACATGTACATTATACATGTATAAATTTTATAATAAATAAACTTGTAAATGTAGTATGTAAACTAAACTAAAGAAAAAGATCTATCAAACTTTATCTTTAATGTAATTTTCATGTATTTTTCGTTTCCTCTATTTTGTATAAATGCATAAAGAAAAGCTAAACAAGATTATCAAAACTTTTAGTCAAACTATATCTCATGACGCACATCAGCGGTATTATCATTTTTCATTTAATATCTTATTAATTAAATTTAACCTTGTTAAACAGATTATTGTAATTTACAATAGTTGATGATAACTATTATACAATTATTAGCATTATTATGGCTTTTATCCTTAGTATTGAAAATAGATGGTTTTTAATAACATCAAGATACAGTATGGAATTAGAAATAAAAAGTAAGTTTAACGATTCACAACAGAAAAAAGCCTGCTTTCATTGATAGCACTCCACAAATCTATGGTTATTTGATTTACATTTACAAACCCTTTAATTATGTTAGATTAAAGGGACTGTAAGCATAATTTCAGGTGACCATCATACGAAGATATAAACGCCCGATTTACAACGGTTCCCTTGAAAAATTTGTCTGATCAAACATTTGGTAGAGAAACTTTATATAAAAATGAACGGTTATGCATATCTAATTTATATACTTGATAAGACAAAACTTTAAAGGGTAAGGTTGTAAATCAGGCAATGTCATCTTTGTATGAAGGTTAACTTGAAAATACACTTACAGTTCCTTTAAGGTAAACCTGTTGTATTTCGTGGAGGCTAATACTTGTTCCATCACCACTTTCTGAAGGTTTATCCCCTGCAGTTAGTCCAGGGACCCGCCCTTGTTTAACCATCTCATGGCTTTCTGGGCCCTGGACCCCCTTGGACCCGTGGGGACCCTGGTTTTCCTTTGGAGCGCCTTCTCTGTGCTCGACAAAGTTTTCAACTCTGTTCTCCCCATTCCATTTTACTTGTTTCTCTTCTATTTGATTATGATGATGAACGTGTGGTTCCTGTGTGGCTCTTGTGGTTGAAGGTTGGATATGTGTGGCAGCTGTTACAGATCGAATCTGTGGTTTAGGTAGAGTAGGAGGCTGAAAAAAGAATAAACTTTATTGCTTATGAAATTTAGATTATAATTGCAAGTACAACTCTCTCTCTATAATTATTCATTTATTGGTTACACATTTGCCTCTTTTTTCTTATAATTAATATTTATATGTAACCAATTAATTTGTAAATTTCAGCACCGCGTCCCACCCCCCGCTCCATATCACGGGCAGCCGTAGAACATTTGAACTTCCGAGCCGGGTCAACCTTTCTGGTCCCAGTTTGTACTGTATCGCCCAGATAAATTGTGATAATAAAGCAGACACTCAATGGACTAGCCTGTGCAACAAGATTGACGAGGTCAGACTTTAGGTTGAATTTACTTTTACTAAAGAGTCAGAGGTGCATGATATAGTCATTCTTACCTTAGGACAAACCACAGGTTTGGAAAACGTGTTCATGTTTACATTCCTTCTTTCCTCCTGGTAGCTTTTACTTTTATTTTCTGATGTCTTGATATCATTCAAAATGTCTATCACCGACATTTCTTTGTCATTTCCTTCATACACACTTGCACGAGCTGCAACAAATGTTTCAAACGATGGATTTGAACATGGTGGCAGTTGGCACGTGGTAAGTTTTGGCGCCGCCATGTTTGATTTGTTTTGCGCATTTTTGCAGCACGGTCCAGCTTTACATGTGTACACTTTGCGAAGATTAATATTGTCTGTTCTAGAATCAATTACAGCCTGAGTTTGAAGATTATTTCTCACATAGTAATCCGGGATTCCCTTCCTACTATTCGTTATATTCGACAGGCAGGTTGGGTTCAAAGTGATGGGAGACGTCGACTGAAGTTTTATCATTTTTGCATTCGAAATTTTCAGATATATTAGATTGTATATAGTATATACTTGAAGAATACAAATACAATAAAATGATAACGAAAAATGAATTATCTATTTCATTATGTGGGAGACATTTAGGATTTAGTGTGATCTTCCAATGTTAAAAAACAATAAATTTGAAGCACACTGTACACTGTACTGTACCACAGAAGCAAGATTACGTTATGTACGGTTGAAGAAAAAGAAAAAGTTGTTTTAAAAATTTTTTTAAACAGAATTTTTTGTGGATCATTGTTACTAAAAAACCTCACTTAGCATATTTCTTAGAATTGTGTTATAAAGTTTATATTCTTGAAATTTTTGCAGAAGCGTACCTACGAATCTTTAATAAATTGATATGGACAGCCTTTTAGTTTGGTGAGGTCACTATAAACATGTTATGTTATGAGCTCTGGTCAAAACTATAGCTAAGATGTGCATTGTGCACAGACCCCCCCCACCACCCCACCCCCTCTATGCTGAGTAAGTAACTAATATATTCATATAAAAATGAATGAATGAAAATAAAAATCTAAATGTAAAATTATACAGGGTGTCCCACGAAACATTACAAATGAAAATGAAAATCGAAATGTAAGATTATACAGAGTGTCCCACGAAACATTGCAAATGAAAATGAAAATCTAAATGTAAGATTATACAGGGTGTCCCACGAAACATGACGTTGGTGAATAGTTTTGAATATATTCTTCCATATACTGTATTAGATATTGAAAACTTTTTGTGAAGTTTATTTAGTTAAAGAGTCTTCGACTAAAATATATTTTATTTTTATATCAATTTTACTTTAATATAACAGTCATATATAATTATTTTTTGTTAGTCCCTTTAGTATCAAACAACTTAAAAAATCATGGAAGAAGACATTTCAAACTATTCACCAACTGTCATGTTTCGTGGGACACCCTGTATATTAAAATGGAAGAAGAAAAAATGTAATCAGAATAAGAGTATATACGGTGGAGATATCGATTACTCGCACTGCTGAAAATGGACCATCAGGTTTCAAGTCAAAACATCTAAACTTTTTTTTGGATTATGTTTAAATGCAGGCTACTGACTTATATTCTCGATTTTCAGAAAATGTCCCCTAGGGAATTTTGAGCATCTCAATTTTTAAGAAGTTGTAGAAATAAAGTGCATTCACAGGTCTAAAATTAAACAAAAATTTCGTTTCAAGACTTTAATCTGCTTCTTACGGGTTCTTTGACGATATTTTTAACAGTATATGACTATAAATGGTCTCCAAATTTTTTAATCTTTCTTTAACAGTCATGAAACTTATTGTAGCAAAAAATCAAACCCCTAAGTCAACTGCCTGACTGTCAAATGCGGCCTGAAAGTTTTTTTGATGTAATTTTTACTAATTTTACTTCAAAAAGTCTTTTTCAGACAGTAATTGGGCAATTATAGGGTTTTGACTGTTCGGGAAAATTCACAAAATTTGGGGACCCTGCCATCAACGGTTCTAAAAATATCGAAAAAAACACAGAATAATCTTGATTAATCTTTGAACCTACTGTTACGATTGAGTTTAGACTTAAAAATGAACTTGATTTCTACAATTTCTTTAAAATGGATTTAATTAAAATTCCCTAGGTGGCATTTTCTGAAAATTTAGATTAATATATTCGGAAGAAAAAAATAGGTGTTTTAATGGTTCATTTTCAGCAGTGTTACTCTTAAACGTGATTTTAAAGAATTTCATACATGCTCTATGGATCTAAAGCTAAAACTTAAATCGCTTAATTTGTACAACATTACAATTTCATTTTGCTGAGCCGTCTTGATAAGTTGAAATCCTTCTTAATTTCCTACTCGAATTCCTACTCCTCCTGATTTCCTACTTGATTTCCTACTCCTCATGAGCCTACGTACGTACTTGATTTCTTTCTTGATTTTCTTCTCCTCTTGGCTCTTGAGCCTTATTGATTTATTACTTGATTTCCTTCTCCCTCTGAGCCGCTTGATTTCCTACTTCGATTGATGTCCCACTCCTCATGAACCTATTTGATCTTTTAATTGATTTTTCTACTCCGCCTAAGTCAACTTGATTTTTTTTTATGAAAAAAAATGATAATTTCCTTGGTTGATGTATGCCTAGGTGAGGATCTGCAGGATGAGGAACTAGGAACACCGGAAAAATGTCTTCTTCTGAAAATTGGAAAATATTGAAATTTAAATTTATGTGATTTACATTTGTGGATCAGAGCAGATTTGGATTTACTACATACATATACATATTTAGGTGGCCATACCTGTAACAAAAAAATTAGCTTTCCTTCCTTTTTGTCAATTCCGGGGGGGGGGGAATTGTGCAACTCCTATTTCTATTGTCTCAGATCTTTTTATTATTTCTAATCAAAGAAAAACGCGCAAACCCAGTATTACTCTGATTTTATTTATGTAAATTAACCTTTTAATAAAGATAATCGAGCATACTTTTTTCTAGTTATTCATTCCAGTAAAAATATCAATTTTTTTAATAATAGTTTGATAATTGAATAAAAATGATTCTATTAAATGTAATTACAAAGTTTCAAAAATCTAAAATGATTGAAAAAACAATTGACAAGAGCAAAGCTATAAACTGGAAGAAACACACCCTTTCCATTTATTCAAAGGTTGAATTGAGATTTCTTGACCGTATTCCTGAGTATCCCCCTGGACTTAAACCGAATGAACGTTAGTGCGAATGTACGTTAGTCCGATCAATCATTAGTACAAACGATACGACACTGCCACTAACCTTCTGCTGTCATGTGCCCTGCGCTTAGTTTGAGTTGATGCCGCGTGCATTTTTGTTCTAGGTGGCGGTAGTGTAGCAGAGGAGAACCTGGACACATAATCTGATCAATACTTGTTATATTTAATACAGGGGCCTTGGTGACTTAGATCTTTGATTTCAATATCTTAGCCAGGTATGTGAGGTATCTATCCATATGGACGGCTATAAACCTAGAATCTATTTGTAAGTTAAAGTGACAGGAAAAAAGTTTCTGGGTAAAAAAACCTGGAAATAAAAACTTTGGTAAAAAGTCCCAATTTTCTAAAGTCCTAGGATAACTGTCACTGGAAATAAAGTCCTGAGTTTCAGATTCCTGGGACTTTTTTCCTAAAATAATGTGGGAGCTGCTAATAAAGTCTCAGGAAATAAGATCAGAGGAATTAAAGTCCTTAAGCAAAAAAGTCATTTGTCCTGGGAAAACGAGGTCAAGTCTTAGAAGTTTTCATAAAACGGACGTTTCTTCTATTCATCTGCCTTTTTTTACATGGTAGTAAACATCTTTTGTTTCCATGCATTTCCATTGTAAAAGGACTTTTTTCCAAGGACTTTTTGTATGAAATCATACTGGAACCAGAGAAAAGTCCTAGAAAATAAAGTCTCAAAATGGTAGAAATTTATTTCCAGTGACTTTTTATTGCCAGGACTTTTTTCAACAGGACTTTTTTAGTGCCAAAATTTAGGATTTATTTCCGTAAACTTTTTTTCAAAAAATTTTTTTGGCGGTTACGATAAAACTCGATGGTGCCCAAAAACGGAAAGCTCTTTCAAAGTAATGGAGCTAATCATCATTTTAAAAGTTTAACCATCATGAATATCGAGTTCAGCTGTAGTCACTAAACGTTTTGACTTTGAACTTGATCCTGCTATAGTTGCTCTGTTAATCTCTATACAAGTGATATGTTTAAAGATATCAGATGTTGTAACTGTCATGTATTCAATATTTATAATATTCTATGTACATTGTACACTAATTTGGACCCCTTCTTTGCAGTTGGCCCAGGTACAAGTGATTTTGCTAAGTATACACAGTTCAACTTCTTCTTGCTGCAAATAAAATCTGGCCCCTGAGCTCACTTTAGAAACTATTAGTTGGGATCTTAAAACTCTTTTAACCGCCCAATCCATGAAAAACAGCTGACATATAATAATTTTTCTATTTCTTATAAACTTCAACCTCAGGTCTTGTCTATAATTTTGTAAAAAAAAATAACAAAGATCTGTATTTAGATCCGTCTGGCCCGCCTAGCTAACATGTTCTTATGAACTAATTAGTCTAAATGTGAGCCATTAGTGAAACCAATTTAGACGAGACATGAAACATTTCTCAAATATATACTTTCTCATTCAAACTTCGTGGTTTTAAGCTTGGAAATAGTTTCCCTTTTCCTGTACACTATTGAAAAAAAATAATTATAACAAGAGGAAAGAAAAACCATGTGCAATAGGACCTAAAACATGTGAAATATTGGTAACATTATTTGCCTAATAACGCAATAAATAACTTGATTGCTGTCTTCCCATTTCAAAGTTTTATGGATAGTACTGTACTAATTTATGACTGATTTGGCAATAAAACGCAAAAAAATAATCATGAAAAATTTATTTTTAATTGAATTATTTAAATATTATAAAACCTGGGAGGAGAGTCCACTGAGGTGGGTGGAGCAGTTGGATCCGGTCTCAGGGGCGGTAATCCTTCACTCTGGGAGGAGTGGGTGGAGTAGGATCTAAAAAATAAATAGACGAAGATTAACAATCAATATGTTTTAGAATAGAATACGAATAAAACTAAGCTTTATCATGGCATTGTTGTATTGTATTTACCTGTATCGACGGTGTTGAGGTCGTCTTCCGAGAGATCTGCCGCGTCTAGTTCCCAGATCCTCTCTTCCACCTCGCACGCTATATCCATCTAGAAAGCATTAAAACAATCAATCAATCATAAATACTATTATCTACCTTGTATTGGGGTATTATCCCACATTTTATTGAGGTTTCATCCCACTTTGTATTGAGGAATTATCCCACTTTGTATTGAGGAATTATCCCACCTTGTATTTAAGTATTATCCCACCTTGTATTGAGGAATTATCCCACCTTGTATTTAGGTATAATCCCACCTTGTATTGAGGTATTATCTACCTTGTATTGAGGTATTATCCCGCCTTGTATTTAGGTATTATCTACCTTGTATTGAGGTATTTTCCCACCTTTTATTGAGGTATTATCTACCTTGTATTGAGGTATTATCCCGCCTTGTATTGAGGTATTATCTACCTTGTATTGAGGTATTATCTACCTTGTATTGAGGTATTATCTACCTTGTATTGAGGTATTATCTACCTTGTATTGAGGTATTCCTTGTATTGAGGTATTATCTACCTTGTATTGAGGTATTATCTACCTTGTTTTGAGGTATTATCTACCTTGTATTGAGGTATTGTCCTCTGAATCTGAGGAATTATCTTTATAGTTTGACTGTTTAAGAATATCCATGAGCTGTCTCGTGACGTCATCTGGAGGTGAGATGTCCCCAGGTCTACAGATAAATAAAATTATTAATAAAACTAGATAATACAATATACATACAATAGGGTTCTTAAAACTGCGGACTGGGAAGATGGTGTTTGAGTAATCTTATTTGTATTTGATGCAAATAGTTTTAACATTAGCTTAAAAATAAACTTACAAAGTGAAATAGATCTATGTAGGTTGGACACTGAATTACTGAGGTTATCTTCATGAGACTTTTTAAATCAATAACTCAAGTCCAACAGTCGTCTTCCTATTGCACAGTTTTATAGGGCCCACTATTTATACATACATATAAATTATAAAACATCAAATCAAACAAAACTATGTGGTACAAAGAGGCTCTAATTCTTACAAAACATCCCTGTTTAAAAAGTTCACAAGAGTTTCATAAAAAAATTATTTCTGCATAAAGCATTTTGTTTGAGATAAACATTTAGTTTTCTAGGATGCATATCCTCTACTCAGAATCCATTCTTCAAAAAGGAAACTCAGATTTAATGGAATATTTCATGAATGAAAACTTACAGCCTTGTTTCTTTTCTCTTGCTGTACTTGACGCTGTACATTGGCCTTATATCTAGATATTTCGGCCTTTCTTGACTTGAACTTCCGCCTCCTGCAGAAAAGTATTCTTCATTACAAACAAAAATGAGAAAAAAAATATTCAAAATCTAATTGTAAGGTAATGTGCAATAGTAATACTATCATGGTGCAGACTTGGCAAAAAATGAAGCTTATAATATTATTTCTTATATTGAAATCCCAGCTAGAAAAATCACTCAGTTACGTAAGATTATTTGTACTCGGTCGGTGAAAGGATGGTACAAGGTGTGTTTGATCAAGAATGCAAATTAGATTGCAATTTCTTTATTCATTGGAGAATTTCCGTGATTAATCGCTTGTTAGAAGGAAAAAGTTGTTAGCGTTTGATTGCATTATACAAAAAATCTGATGAATAAAAAATCAGTCTTCTTCCGGCAATTGAGTAGAACCAAATCTGAACCCGGGATTTAAAATTTTCGGCTGGGGTCGTAATTCCTTAAACCCAGCTTTAAGATCAAATCTTAGAGTCAACTACAGCTTGTGTCACGTGATGAACAGCTGCGAGATCTTAAGCTCGACTTATAGAGTTCGGCCCAGTGAAAATAAAAGCGACCGTGGTTGGTTTTAGTGGAGAATAAGGCTCAATGTAAACTCTTGTTCTCTTCAAAACCTGGAATGCGCCAATTCCTACCCTGAAAATCCGCCAAATACAATATTAAACAGAGCTGGAAACTTTTGAATGGTAGATATCTGGATTATTGCTTGATCTCTATTTCTTAATCTCCAGAATAAATAATTCTTGTTCTCCTCTTGTTATCAATCTCAAGATTAATTAACCGATCGGAATTAAGGATATCCCATTCTAAAGTTCCCAGCCCAGAGCTGAAAACTTTAGAATGAAATATCCAGATATCCGTCGGATAATTAATCTGAAGATTAAAGTCATGAGGTAAACAAGCAATATTTAATTCCGAGATTAAGAAAAAGAGTGGATTAAGCCTTAATCCTGATATCCACCATTCTAAAGTTTTCAACTCAGGCTTTATAACTCAACTCTTTGGAAACTTAGATGCAACTTAAATCCGAAAGCTCAAGCCGTAAATAAGGCCTAACGACAGCTTAGACCTAAGTGTATTTTCTTGAATTTTTGAAATAGAATGAAAAATGCAAATTTTTAAAGTACCCCATCCAACGAGTTCAAGAGCCAGGCCAGCTAGGGTGGCCCTGTAAAAATTGTTCAGATGTGCTTTTTTTTTTAAAAGATATATGAAACTATATGAAACATCCAAAGATTTGTTTTTTTTTTACCATTTTTTCTGTAGCCGCCAGAAAAACGTGATTTGTTGGCCATTTTTGGCCTTTTTTTAATTTGAGTGCTAAATTGTTCGTTAAACCCTTAGTTTTAAATTTAGAATGATGTTTTATATATTTTTGGAAATCAAAAATACTATTCTAATTAATTTATTTTTAATTTTTTCTGTTTTCTGTATGGTCTAATGTTTCTAGAATGTGCTTATATATTCATTTATCTTCAGAAATGGCCATTCTATAGCATCTAAAATAAACTGGTGGCTTTGCTCTTGAACTTGTTGGACCGGGTTCCCTGATATGGTTCTACTCAATTGCCAGTGGAAGACGAAGTTTTTTACTCAGTAGATTTTTTTATAATGCAATCAAATGCTAACATTTTTTCCTTTCCTACAAGCTATTAATCACGGAAATTCTCCTATAAATAAAGACATTACAATATAATTCGCATTTTTGATCCAACACACCTTGTACTTTACTTTTCGGAATCCCAAAATCGTTTATTTGTAAATCTGTATATCTAACTAAGAAAGAATAAAAAAATGTATCTTGGTCTCTATTCTAAAGTTTAAAGAAAAAACCTGGTGAATGAGCAGTGGATTCTGAATGAGAAATAGAACTGTACCCACTAGCTGATACCTCACCACCCCCACTAGCACTGTTCTGTACAGAACTATACTCTCCTTCATCAACTGTACTAGGAGGATCATACCCCCGGCCAGTATTGGTGTATGGTACAGTAGCGGTGCGAAGAGGTACAGATATGTAATTCCCGGATTTTCTCCTGTACATATTTCTGGGGACAGTACGATATCCAGGATGGATATTTTCCTCTGCTCCAGGTCCTGATCCAACACTAACCATACTTTTACCTCCAGACTCACGTTTATTAACTGCTCCAGGTCTAGTCAAGGATCGGCTAGCTCCGACTCCGGATTCTGATCCAAACTCACTGGTTGAACTCTGAGGCTCAACTTGATTTGATCTAAATATGGGTAAATGCAAAACAACCCCATTAAATTACTCTATCAGTTATTATTTTAGTCTATAATTGAATGATAGTGATGCCATTGTGGATATTTTTTAGACAAATTGTTTTTGAGATTTGAACTTTTTAAATTCACATGGAGGTCAACATTTTTAGATGCGTATCCTGGGATCAAGAAGTAACCAAATATACTGTGGTCGTTTCGGTGGGGTGCACGGGGGTGGACGTGAATTTATGGTTGGGCAGAGGGGGGGCGGGGGGTCTGAGATATGGTTAATAGGAGGAGGGGTACAAATAGTGTGTGATAGACTGAGGAATGGGGGGGGGGGATTAGATTAAGGGCAGGTTTACTTTATATTACCTAGGTTGTTGTTGTTGAACAGATTTCCCCTCCCCTACTCCTGCTCCCGAGACAGGGGTGTGACCGTTGATAGAATTATGACCGTTGCCAGGGGAGTGGCTAACGGCAGGGGCGTGGTTTATGATTGGGTTGTGAATACCAGCATGATTCCGAACAGATATTACAGTTCGCCTTTATTATATAAATCTCTTATTCATAATTCCTGCAACATGTTCAAAGTGAAAATTTAAAAATTTTAGGAAAATTACTGAAGAAATTATTACAATAAACAAATAAAAATTGGGATTTGGTAAACCTTCTCAATATTAAACTTCATTTTTTCCTGTAAGGATTAAGAAATTTTCCTGGAGTCTTCATCTTTTGAAATCTTCTCTTCGAAAACTGTTTTTTCAGTCTGAGTCCGACCATTTTGGGAGACAAGGACATCAGACTGTAAAGGTTTCCTATCAGGCTGGGATACGGTGCTCACTTTATGAGTGATAAGAGGAGCTGAAGAGTTACCGGTTCGGCTGGTGGTCACCATTGCCATTGCCCTCTCTCTCTCTTTCTCCTTGGTCTAAATATAAACAAATTAACAATTTCTGCTGGTTCGACTTTGGGCCTTTCGTAGGATAAAATAAATAAAAACATGAGCCGGCCATTTTTAATCTGTATGTATTGCTAGATAGATTTTAACAAGAAAAAATACCAAATGATATGATATTATGATTGCTTATTCAACGAATCATTTTGAGATAAGTTACAATGGTGCAACTAGCACTTTTGTGAGGGAGGGCGAAATTTGATTTGAGGGCTGGGGGGGGGGGGCTGTAAAATTTGATTTTAAGAGGTTAGGGGTGGGGGCTGTAAAGAGAAAGCGCTGTTTTCAGGATTTGAAGTAAAAAAAACGGTATTTTTTAATTGTTGAAGGGTTGGCTATGTGCTAAATAATATACCAAATTCTTATAATATTCATAGCTTGTTCTTGTGTTTAAGATGAAAATATTCTTTTAGCAGATTTCAGTAAATTAATTAGACATATGCGCGAAGCGCCAAAAAATCTGTTCTTTTAGTGTCTTTTCATGTATTTCTTAAATCTTGGTGTCTGTTAGTCCCTGACTTAGTCATATTCACTATGTATGTAAAAGTAAAATTATGTTATGTTCTAAGAACCATTCAACTTTATAAATTATAATTCTTGTAAACCAATTATGTGATTTTATCGCCTCTAACATTAAGTTTAATTTTCTTATTAAAAAAGGATTCTTTTAAAGATTGCACATTATACAAAATTTCAAATTATTTTTCAAATAAATAGTTTATAATTTATCTAAATTAAAAATGCACTCCAGGGTTGAGGACAAGGATTAAAATAAGTCTGATATGGTGATAACTCAGCAGTCAACACCAACAGTTTTGGACAAGTTTACCGCTAGGAATCTAGAAAGCGATTAAGAAGAGAGGGAGGGGCAGTATAGAAAAAAGAAATAGAAAGAAAGAAAGAAGACGAAATTAATAAGAGAAAGAAAGAAATAAAGAAAGAAAGAAAAAAGTAAGAAAGTAAGAAAGAAAGAAAGAAAGAAAGAAAGAAAGAAATAAAGAAATAAAGAAAGAAAGAAAGAAAGAAAGAAAGAAAGAAAGAAAGAAAGAAAGAAAGAAAGAAAGAAAGAGAGAAAGAAAGAAAGAAAGAAAGAAAGAAAGAAAGAGAGAAAGAAAGAAGGAAATAAAGAAAGAAAGAAAGAAAGATTAAGAAAGAAAGAAAGAAGTAAATAAAAAAAGAAAGAAAGATTAAGAAAGAAAGAAAGAAAGAAAGAAAGAAAGAAAGAAAGAAAGAAAAAAAACTAAAAATTCTAAATAATCAATTCAATGTTAAAACATGAGAAACCTAATTCCTCAAACTACTATAGAGATTACACTTTTATCGAAAAAGAATGGTAAGAAATTAGGGAAGGGATAAAAAGAATGAGACTAAACGCTAAGACAAAACGGAAAAGAATAAAAATGAAAGAAACGAAAGCTGATTGAAAGAAAAGAAAAGAAGGCGGATTGAAGGAAAAGAAAAGAAAGCTCCAATTGAAGGAAAAGTAAAGAAAGTTCGGATTGAAGGAAAAGTAAAGAAAGTTCGGATTGAAAGAAAAGAAAAGAAAAGAAGGCGGATTGAAGGAAAAGTAAAGAAAGCTAGGATTGAAGGAAAAGAAAAGAAAGCGGATTGAAGGAAAAGTAAAGAAAGCTAGGATTGAAGGAAAAGTAAAGAAAGCGGATTGAAGGAAAAGTAAAGAAAGCTAGGATTGAAGGAAAAGTAAAGAAAACTCAGATTGAAGGAAAAGTAAAGAAAGCTAGGATTGAAGGAAAAGTAAAGAAAGCTCAGATTGAAGGAAAAGTAAAGAAAGCTAGGATTGAAGGAAAAGTAAAGAAAGCTCAGATTGAAGGAAAAGTAAAGAAAGCTAGGATTGAAGGAAAAGTAAAGAAAGCTCAGATGGAAGGAAAAGTAAAGAAAGCTCAGATTGAAGGAAAAGTAAAGAAAGCTCAGATTGAAGGAAAAGTAAAGAAAGCTAGGATTGAAGGAAAAGTAAAGAAAGCTAGGATTGAAGAAAAAGTAAAGAAAGCTAGGATTGAAGAAAAAGTAAAGAAAGCTAGGATTGAAGGAAAAGTAAAGAAGATTGAAGGAAAAGTAAAGAAAGCTAGGATTGAAGGAAAAGAAAGGTCGGATTGAAGGAAAAGAAGGGAAAGCTAGAATTGAAGGAAAAGTAAAGAAAGAGAAAAATGGAAGTAAGAAGGAGTGAGGGAAAGATCAGAAATGGAAAAAAATATGAAAAGCTGGGAATGTTCGAGAAAACAGTTGTGCAGTTAGAGGCCGATTTTCATGTCGCATTTTAAGTCCTTATTCAAAAGCATGTACATTACACATTGTACTTGTACACCCTAATGTTTTTATTTTTCTAAAAATAAATCTTTAAAACATGTTATATTGCCTTGAACTATATGTTTACGATATGGTTTGATGTTACAATTATAAACCCAAAACAAACATGTTGTCAAGTTACTCCTCTGTTTAATAAGATACAAAATATTTAACTATGCACACAGTGTATCCGCAGTACGCACATAAAGAATAAAAGTATATTAGTTAGGTTTTATGTAATAATCTGGCGTTGCCTGTGCCAATCAGGCTTTAATTTGTGTGTCTGTCCATAGGGCTATTTTTTGCAGTGTTACTGCCTTAGGCTTATTCGTGATACTTACTTTTCATTAGGCTTATTCGTGTTACTTACTTTCATTAGGCTTATCCGTGTTACTTACTTTCATTAGGCTTATTCGTGTTAATTACTTTTATTAGGCTTATTCGTGTTAATTACTTTCATTAGGCTTATTCGTGTTACTTACTTTCATTAGGATTATTCGTGTTACTTACTTTTATTAGGCTCATTCGTGTTACTTACTTTCATTAGGCTTATTCGTGTTAATTACTTTCATTAGGCTTATTCGTGTTACTTACTTTCATTAGGCTTATTAGTGTTACTTACTTTCATTAGGCTTATTTGTGTTAATTCAAAAGACTTCCTCCATCAAAACTATTATTCTGAATGAAGCTAACTTGTGTAACCCAGAGAAAAAAGTTTAACATTTAAATACTTTTTACATTTCTCTGTTAATCTTTTAGTTTTGTAAGGTGTCGGAGTTTAATGAAGCTTTAAAAATTTGTCTAAAACTTGACCGAAAACCTTTTCCCGTAAAATCTAAGAGGTAGGATATCTTTTATAGTGTAGACATGGGGGGGGGGCAACATGGGCATACATACATATTACAAGCCGTAAAGTGTGAAAAAATTAAAAGGTGTACATTGATAATTTAAAAAAATTCCTAACATGTGTTTTTTTAGAAAATTATTCAAATTTGGAAACTTTTACTTTCTCATTTACTGCGCCTTATGTAAAACACATACCTTTGATTTCTTAGTTAAAGACCAAGCAGCATGGAAGATAAAGCTGTAGAGAATAAATAGAAAGCAGAGAGGAATCCAGTAGTAACCAATTATCAAGGATGTATTGAATACAGGATCCTAGAAGATCATTATATATTATCTAGGATGTATTGAATATAGGATCCTAGAAGGTCATTATAAATTATCAAGGATGTATTGAATACAGGATTCTAAAAGATCTTTATATATTATCTAGATTGTATTGAATACAGGATCCTAGAAGATCATTATATATTATCAAGGATGTATTGACTACAGGATCCTAGAAGATCATTATATATTATCAAGCATGTATTGTATACAGGATCCTAGAAGATCATTATATATTATCTAGAATGTATTGAATACAGATTCTAGAAAATCATTATAAATTATCAAGGATGTATTGAATACAGGATGCTAAAAGATCTTTATATATTATCTAGATTGAATACAGGATCCTAGAAGATCATTATATATCATCAAGGATATATTGAATACTGGATCCTAGAAGATCATTATATATTATCAAGGATATATTGAATACAGGATCCTAGAAGATCATTATATATTATCAAGGATATATTGAATACAGGATCCTAGAAGGTCATTATATATTATCAAGGATGTATTAAATACAGCATCCTAGAAGATCATTATATATTACCTAGGATGTATTAAATACAGGATTCTACGATCATTTTAAACTATCTTGCATGATTTTGAAGATCAAATATTTAAAGAAAATTTACACTTTCCTTAAACTAGCAATACTTTTGTAATATATCTTTGCAACATGATGGTGTAAATTTTTTATATTTAAAACTTGACTTATCATATTAATTCACAAATCAAAGTTTAAAATTAAGTTTAATGATCTGAGGTTGCAAATATATAAAGATTAGAAAAGTTTGAGCTAAGTGTTTAGATCCAAAATATTAAATTGTAAATATTAGAAAAGTTTGAGCTAAGTGTTTAGATCCAAAATATTAAATTGTAAAGATTAGAAAAGTTTGAGCTAAGTGTTTAGATCCAAAATATTAAATTGTAAATGTTTCTCGGTAATTTTAAGTTCATAATTCAATATTCGACTGTTGACCAATTTTCGACCGTTTAATAAAATTGGAAATGGAAGGGGGGGGGGGCACGGTAGGGGAGCTTGTTGACTTGTATCCATTCAGCCAAGTCAAACTCATTTAAATTCATATCAAAATATCGTTATTAGTAATCATCCTATAACTTCTTAATGCAGTTAATGAACACTCTACAGCCCTTTTATTACCTTTAAGAACTGTACCATGCACTCCCCGGGGTTGAGGTCCCTGTATCCGATGAAGTGCTCCCACCCGAATATACTGACAAAGAAGAGAACTGCAGGGATGAACCAGGTTAACATGATCATCACCATCACCTTCACAAATATATGTAATCACAAGTTAATACAGAAATATATCAGCAAATGTAACAAATATGTTGGAAAACCTATCAAATATGTTGGAAAACCTATCAAATATGTTGGAAAACCTATCAAATATGTTGGAAAACCTATCAAATATGTTGGAAAACCTATCAAATATGTTGGGAAACCTATCAAATATGTTGGAAAACCTATCAAATATGTTAGAAAATTACAAAAATATTGTGGGAAATATATCAACAATGTCAGAAAATATGTCTTTGCTGAAATTATGTCTGCTTTACTGTACTATACTGTACATTACTGTACAATACTGCACAGCACTTCACTGAACCATACTCTGTATTGAACTATAAAGGACGAATAGGTCGGTATCGAACCATTAAAAATAAATTTTTAAAAATTACTGACATTTTTTTTTTTTTAACTCAACATGCTAACACTCCTTAATCACCTTAATTTCATTCAGATATCCCGGAAAAGTATGCAAATATGCAGAATAGCAATGCAGAATATTTTACAGAAAATGGCAAGCAAATCGATATCGTGGGAAAGGAATAAAATATAAATCCTCGAAAGTTTGCGAACATATATAAGTGTGTGCTGAACCAGCTGAAGCTAAAGATTAAATTGTCATTAATCAAAGCATTTACTTTTACAGGGTGTCCCATTAATCAAAGCATTTACTTATACAGGGTGTCCCATTAATCAAAGCATTTACTTATACAGGGTGTCCCATTAAGCAAAGCATTTACTTATACAGGGTCTCCCATTAATCAAAGCATTTACTTATACAGGATCTCCCATATCAAAGCATTTACTACTACATGGTGTCCCATTATTTAAAGCATTTACTTATACAGTATGTCCTATTAATCAAACATTTACTACAGGGTGTCCCATCAAACATGGCTATTTAAAGACGAAAAACAGACCATCAAAACAGTTAAAACGGTATGATCATCTAAAACAAGCCTAATATTACTACATTATGCGTAGTTTGGACACACTGTATGTTATATATGGACACAATATCTATAAATGTATAATGAACTAGATACAGGGTGTACCCCTAAACTGTGCAGTTTCTAAAATAATCTTTAACTAATTCTAACTGTATTTTATATAATCCTATATGGACGGAAACACTTTAGAAAGTTATTTAAAAGTGTTAATATTTATATTGGCATTTGTTTATTAATTTCATTAATTAATCTAAAACTTTTAAAATCACCAAATGGTGATATTTCGTCTAGCTTCTATAGAAAATTTAGAAATCTCTGTTGATATTGAAAAAAGGCTTGTCTGAAATATCAATATTATTATCCAAAAATCGTATACTAGGAAATTACCCTGAAATTATCATAAATTAATGACATCATATGTCAGCCGTTATATAATAAAATATAAAAATCTTAGAATTAGCAAGAAATTAACGTTTTTCATGTTCAAACATGATTTAATAAATTAAGACATTCATACAAAGACGACTTTCTCTCTCAGACAAATCAGTTCCTAGATTCCAACTCTTCAATAAATCACGGGGATTTCTGGAGAAGTAGGGAAAATGTGTCAAACCGTCAAATGTTATATTTTGAAAATAGATAATTTTAAAATAATTGTGAAAAAAATCAAGATATCTAGACTGCAATTAACTATTAGATACTACAATTCAATTTAATATTTGAAAATTTTAAAACCTATGACTATGACAAAAAGCATCAACTAAATGGAAAGGTATCATACCTTTGCTCTGGAATTCTAAACGATAAAATGGCTTTTTCTCAGGCCACAGTTGTCTTTGAAAAGTAAGACTAATTCCAATGAATAGCTAATAGGCTATTTACAATAACCTCAAATTACACAAATAAGTGAACGGTCCCTTTAAAATGCAAAAGAATTTATTTTTAGTTAAAACATGACTTTTAACGATGGTTTATTGACAAAATTTAAAATTAATTTGAAGTTGATTCGAAATTTTATATACACAATTTTGCAGAAATGTTTCTTTTCTTTATAATGAGACAATTAGAGTACTTTCAAGTGACAAACCATCCAAACAGGATCAAACTGGATTCACAGCGGTGTCCTCAAAATCTTCGACTGAGAAAAAAACTTTTTTCTATTTAAAAATTGATAATTTCCAACTGTGGTTTTTTATGATAGGGAGTGGCGAATTTCGACAGCAGAGACTAGGAATTTAGAATTAAAATATTTCCAGAAAAACAATATGTTTATCTTGCTCAGATAACGGTTTAAAGGGTACCTTTGTGAATCAGACATGGAACTTAAATTATGTCTATGCAATAAATAAGAGTAATTGCCAAGTTTCAACAAAGGACGTCATTTTCGTTGCAAAAACTTCCGTCAAAGCACACTTCTATTTAGTTTATGATTTCTCAACTGTTTGCAATTTTAAATTCTTCTCCAGCTGAATGTTTATTTTCTTGAAGTCGTGAACCTAGCATCACTCTGTCATAAAACGTGCAAAATTTTAGGATTATCTAAATAATGTTCTTGATCTCTATACACTCAACTCATTCATAAAGAAAAAGCCCTGTTTTCTACAGGGGTGTACAGAGCGTCCCATATCATATTAGATTATCTCCAATCCTGAACGCCAAAATACGCTCATAATACTCAAAAAATCTAGCATTTTCTGCAAAAAAAAATTCTATTAGCTATATTGAATTTTTTTAAATGATTCATTCTTCTTAAATTTTCTTATTTGTCCCCCAAATTGTAATATAGGCCGTTAATGCGGTCTAATATGATGCGGGACACCCTGTATATTTGGCGTTGTGACATTTTATAGAAAGACATTTCATAATAAGACATTTCAAAAATAGGACATTTCAGAGATACTGGTTCTTGAAATGAACTGGACTTTACAGTGACTATATTGCATACTACAAATTGCACGGTTACTGGTTAGTTAGTTAATAATGCATTCAATATTATTTCGTCTCCTACTGTTCTCAATAATTGCCTTCAAACATCGATGATAACATAAAAAAAATTTGTCAACACAAATTTTTTTTTATTCGACAAATTATGTCTAGTATTGTAAAAGGTGTTAGGTACTTTCCCAAAGGCATTTACCAAGGGCTTTCCCAAGTGGCAAATTCCCAAATGTGCAATTTCCCATGCGGCAACTTCCCAAAGGTTAGGTTTCGATGGATCCAATGGGTGTCGAGCGCCGCAGCTATTCTGAGCTAGGTGGCCGAGCTGCTCGGCTAGAACAGGATGGGGGCCGAGCGCTGCAGCTAGGACCAACTTGGGAAGATGCCGCTTGGGAAATTGCACATTTGGGAAGTTGCCACTTGGGAAAATACCCTTAAGAAGTTGCCACTTGAGGAAAATCCTTTGTAAATCAGGGGTACGAACTTTTGAATACTATATGCTTTTTTAAAATTACTAATCCACATCTTTTATGTAAGGTGCGAGGAATTGAATTATAATTCTAAATTAGTTAAACAAACACATAAAATTGAGATATTTTCTTTTTTTACATTTATCTTAATATTTTGTAGACAACATAGTTTTTAATCATCATCAATCATCTTGACGCATTAACAGACCAGGGGCGTATACAGTAATTCATCGAGGAGGGGGGGGGTAGCAATGCCCCCCCCCCCCGGCCCAAGGACAAAATAATAGAAAAAGAGATGCGGCAAGGAATATTATTGTTTTTAATTATTCACATTTCCAAACTTTAAAATTGTCATTGTAATCCTAGAGTTTTTCGCCAACTGCCTGAATCTTCAGGCATACTGAATTCATGTTTTTTTTTGTACAATATATGCGCTATTTTAATTCAGAATATATTTTCTAAGGAATTGAGTCTTTGCCACAAACTCAAATTTCTAATCCCTATGGCTTTGCAACCAGATGATGTAAACCGATGATATTTCAAACTTGGACTATTTGATCTAACAGAATTTATAGTTTGAAATATCAAAGGTCTACGACATCGGATTGCTAAGATATAGGGGGAAAAAGTTAGAGTTTGTGGCAATAACTCATTTCCTTTTCTAAGGAATGGAGTCTTCGCCACAAGCTCTGATTTTCTGATCCCTATATATTTGCAACCCAATGTCGCAAACCTTATAAATTTCAAACTACGAATATTTAAGGTTTACATCATCAGGTTGCAAAGATTAGGGATTCCAAAATTTGAGTTTGTGGCAAAGACTCAATTCCTTTTCAGCTTACAATTTTCAATTACCAAGCAGATTGTTGTAAAGCATCAGTTTAAACATGTTTATTAACTGAAGAGGAGCAATTAGAAACAATTTGTATTAATAAATATGAAAACTAAGAAGTTGCTCTGACTATTGCTTTATAGTTAAATATTCAGTTACACATTGTAAGAATAATTAGTAAAAAATCATGAAAAATTACATTTTCTTAAATGGAAAAATTCTGTAAAATGGAAGTGGATCTAAAAGTGTAGGGCAAAGAAAATGAAGGATTTTCAGTCCAAGGAACTATATTTGTTGGTTGCGTCAGTCTTTAAGGACTCAAAGAAGTTCATTGTAAGATTTAGACTCCGCTGGAGATCACTGGAGGGATTTAATCACTCCGGTGGTCTCCATTATAGTCAAAATCGTACGTCGAACTTCTGTGGCTCGTGTTTAAGCCCAGAGTTTTACTTGGAACTAGTCCTTAGTTTTAAAAAACTTCAAAATGGTGTACATCTACAATCCCAATTATTATCTCATAAGTTCTATCCATTATTTGCGAAAATCTCGGACTAACAAGTAAATCAAGAAAGTTTGCACACTATCAGCTCAGAATACTAAGCTATGCAAATTATGCATCATATTGAAAACCTCGACTTGTCGCAACACCTAGACCTTAAAGTTTTTATCTTTAGTTTACAAAAATAACTGATGGCAAAATCCTGGTCTATTTTTACATACACAATTTGGTATCTGTTATTAGAGACTAGCAGTTAATTTAAAGCGTATGTTTTTAAAGAAATTATTCAATGTTCAAGAAAAAAAGAAAAAAAAGCCGAAATTAAGATTTAAAAACACCAAGAAGCCAATTACAGCGCTATCGAAATTACATCGAAATAAAAATTTATCCAAAAATATGCACAAAATGATTTTTTTAAGTCGGGTAAGTTATTCTAAAAAATTAGCTCATCTTCTTTTTATGTGCACAATTCCTTTAAAGGCTGAAATTGCTTGTTTAGTTTAAATGTTGGAAGCTGTGCTACCGCATATATTCAGTTTATAGAGGATTTACACTACAGTTTCCTTTCTACTTTTCTCCCATAGGACATTTTTATATAAGTTGAAATCTTGTTACCATTTTTTATTTAACCGCCTTTTCACGGACATTGCCAACCCATGAGGGACGTCAAGTAACTTGTTTTCCCTTTAGACAACTAAATAAAATAACGACCCGCTTTGCGATGTTTTCTTAGGAAGATTCGCACATTTTCATCATATCAGTCAAAACCTTGACCAATTTTTCCTACAAACATCCTTCGCTACCAAAGAGAATAGAATATATATTAGAGTGGAATTTACTAGAAAAAAATTTAAAACGGCCATTTTGTTGTACTGTTTCCATACTGCAGGGTACTTTTATACAAAGATAATAATACAACAAAAAATTCTAAAAGTTTTGATTTAAAAAAGTCAAAGTTATAATTGTATTGTTAGCACATTATTCATGGACGTAGCTTAGATCAAAAAATGTATGTATTGGTGTTTGTATGATGTATACGTAAAACTGAAGTAAATTGCAAGAATGAAATGTTACAATCTTTTTAAAGAGCTTGTGTGCAGAATATAAACAGAGGAGCAACTAGGTCACAAGGTCGGATCAGTGTAATTGACCTTCTCTTTCTATCCAGCTCACAGTGCAAATCAAGTGGTTTGACAACTTTTTTTTTGTTGATATTTAATCTTATGAGAACAAATGCCTTTTTAAAAAGAAATTACTTTCAGATCATGTTGCATTTTGAGACATTTACTCAATTTCAAATCAATTTTCAAATATTGTTCAATTTAGCATATACGTAACAAAACAAGATTTTTTAAAGTAAAATCTGTCCAAATAAAAAGCATAGTGATGTTCTTGTAAAAATCAAAGCATATATATACTTGGCTTTTAGGGCGCTTCGGACACATCTTCTATTTAAATTGTAAACATGTACTTTTTGTTTGAATTTTAAAACAAAGAAGAAAAAAATCTTGCGGATTTGTAAAAAAAAATCACGGATTTTCAAGAATTAAAATTTTTTTTTTTAAATTCCTATAAAACACATTTTTTTCATTCATAAACCTTCCCTGTGGTCACGTGATGTCCAACAAAAAATTTGGGCCCGATCGGTTCAGCCGTTTTGACGTTTATTGGATACAAACAAACAAACAGACAGACAAGCCAAATTTATATATAGATATATTTAATATATCATTTTGTTCTTAAAATGAGATAAATTTAAAATAAAGGAAAATAAATCATGTCTAATCTTCATATTAATAAATGAAGTGTGGAAAGTTTTGGTGAAATAGCATTCAAAATATTTTTTGTAAGACAATTTTGTTTTCAGTGCATATCGTTAGTTATTTGAAATCATAATAGAAAGGACACTATCCTGCTCCTTGGCTCTCCTTCCATGTCCTTCGTATCCTATTCCTTATCCCCCTTACCTAATCTTCCTTGTATCTCCAGGAGATGAGATTTAAAGAGTAAAACCCGGCTGAAGCTAAACTTGGTATTAAATATCTTACATTTTGTAAGAGTGCTCTTAGACGAAAATAAAAACAAACATGAGTGTAATAAGTGTTTTTCTTGTAATTAAACATGATTATTAACTACTCTACGGAATATTTTAACAAATTAAGCCTAGTCAGATCGCGTACAAACTGGAACCGAGACCGAATTTAAAGAATTTGAGCTGCGGCTTAAATATGGTTGGTTCAACTTAAAATCGTATTCATTGTTTCAAGATTTAAGCCCGCGCTCAATTGAAACCGGTTTTTGGAGGATTTAAGACGCGGCTAAAATTCATAAAATTCTGACACCGTAAAGGTTTGTTCAGCTCAAATGCGAAGACTTGCTAAGTTGCGTGACGACATTTCTATTCGGACTGATTAATGTACATTAATGTACAGTAGTGTACACTGTACAATAATGCATACAGTAGTGTACAGTATTGTACAGAAGTGTACAGTAATGTACAGTAATTTACAGTAATGTACAGTAGTGTACAGTATTGTACAGTACTGTACAGTAATGTACCATAATGTTCAGTTTATGGATTATATTGTACAGTAGTGTATAGCAATGTACAGTAATGTACAGTAATGTACAGTAGTTTACAGTAGTGTACAGTAATGTACAGCAATGTGCAGCAATGTATAGTATTGCATAGTTATATACAGTAATATACAGTAGTGTACAGTAGTGTACAGTGGTGTAACGTAATCTACAGTTCATTTACCTTATCTCCAGTCCTCCAAGCTCTGTACCGTGCTGCTAGTTTTACAGAACAAAACCGGTCTATGGTAATCAACAACACTGAAAAAAGAGGATTATAATCAACGACATTTATATAAAGAATTAACATCAACAACACTGAAAAAGAATATTATGATTAACTACAGGTCTAAAAGTTATAATCGACGACACAGTAATAAAAGAATATACTCAACGACATTGAATTAAACTATTGTGATAAAGGATTTAACACTGTAATACAATTTGTATTATACAATACTGGATAACGTTATAAAATAAACAAAACGCAAAGATTGTTATTGCTCTAATCTGTTATTGCTTATGTAATCCAATATCTGCATATTTGATTTGAATTAATCAAAATATTTATATTTTAATATATATGTTCTTTCAATTCATAAAGTATGATTATCAATAATAGTTATCAATAGAGTTTTAATTCATCAATTATATTTCGTATTACTCAAACTGTCAAACACAATTTTTTTGTTTTTGTTTTCATTAGCTTTAAGGCTAATAAAGAGATATTTCAATTTAATAACTGGCATATTATGTTGTGGGTCATATAAATTCCTACATTTGTCCATGCTGAATGAGATTTATGACGGTATTTGGCAAACTTTGTCTTTAAAGAACATTGGGAAACCGATGTTGTTTAATGCCAGAAATAACTCTTCTCCCTAATGATAAAACGGCCATTTTGTTGTACTGTTTCCATACTGCAGGGTACTTCACATATTTATGCTATATAATCTTTTGGGCCCTGGAATATCATTTTATAGAAAATCTAAAATTAATATTGAAAGAAAACCAAATTATGAAATAGGCTGGTTTCATAATTGACCAATAATCATTTCACATAGACTCTATTCATTTCACTTTACAAACGATGATTTGCCGTTATAACTATAAATCAAATTATGGTTTTTATTCACCTAATTCATTATAAAGTTTATTTAACAGCTTTCAAAATTTCGAAATTGAAATGAATAGTCTAGGGAACATACTGTATTAATGTACTCTACTGCATATAGTTTGTGAACATTTACATGATTCGTACACTTTGAACTCCCTTTCAGGCTGAAAGAGACTGCAAAAATTCATACCGAGAGATTCTTTAAATTCCCCTCTAATATATATTCTATTCTCTATGTTCGCTACACTTGAGATGTTTTTGCTGGAATGGATATTTTTAAAGAAAAATTACTATACCTTTTCTTTTAGAATTCTTGAGTTTTGTTTTCAACGTTCAGTAATGTTTAATTTGACAGCTTCAGTCTTTTTACTTTGATTAATTAGGACTTTTATTTTTGCCATGATTTATTATTATAATTTAAACTTATTGAATCACGAATGAAAAAAAGGTTAGTTTTTCTTTACAGTGTTACGTCAAAAAATATCCTAATAAAGCATTTTATGGAGTTTTCAGAAGTTATGCTCCGAAAGGTTTAATAAACCCCGGTAAATTTAAATAAAAAATAGCCAGCGATTTAAAAGCTTCCTGAATTCCTTAGACCAAGGTTTACGGCCCAATCTTAGACCCAACTTGTGAATCAGCTGAGGACATCTTGTGTCACGTGGTCGACAGCTGCCCTTTCTTAGGCTCGACGATATAGAAGTTAGGCCCAATGAAAATAAAACCTTGATTGGTTTTCATGGAGAATTAGTTTCAATATTGATTCTCATTCTAATCAAATCCCTGGAAAATGTCAAATACAATATTTAACCGGTTTAATAAACCCAATGTGGTCATGAAGTCACATTCTTTGTAGCTATACCTGTAAATTGTGAAACAATAAGGTAGCTTTACCTGTAAATTGTGAAACAATAAGGAAGCTTTACCTGTAAATTGTGAAACAAGACACACTGTATAGTCCACTGAAAGCCAGAGATCACAGAGAATAGGTCCCAGCTCGTTGGGCCAGTAGCCGACCAGAACGTATACCTAATTCATCATCATCATCATCATCATCATCATCATCATCATCATCATCATCATCATCATCATCATCATCATCATCATCATCATCATCATCATATATTATTATTATTATTATTATTATTATCATTATTATTATTATTATTATTATTATTATTATTATTATTAATATAATTATTATTATCATTATTATTATTATTGTGCTTATCGTTAAAATCTAAATGCAACTTCTAAAAAGAATCCCCCCCCTGCATTATAAAATAATTATTAAAATTCACAGCTTGAAAAAAATTCCAAATTTTAATATTTTTATTGTTAAGCCAAAGTCCAAATTTTTTAATTTTTAACAATTCTAAAATTGAAATTTGAATAACTCTTCTTTCAGTTTTCTTATTTTCTTTAAATAAAAATATTGTGTTCAGTTTCTTTAAACCTTATCGTTAAATCTATGAAATGAGCTAATTAAGTTAAATGAATAGTTTAAATTTAACTAATAAACAATTCTCTTTTAATTAGAGTCCATCCACAATGCTACCCCCCCCCCTTCTCTCCTACAAATATCAAATCATGAAAATCCAGAATTTTATTTTTAATTTTGTTATTTTTCCAGAATCATCTTTAGAAGACAGTTAATTAATTTTCAGTTCTTGTCTAAATAATAAGAAAAATACTGTATGAAAAAAAGGATTTTATAATTATTTCTAAAAAAATGTTTACCGTAAAGAAAGGCATTGAGACGGTGCCTATGAGAATATCAGTTATAGCTAGAGATGCTATGAAGTAATTGGTCGGCTGCCTTATCTGCCGGTCAACCTAAACAAAATTCATCTTCAAGGGACTGTAAGCATAATTTCCATAGACCCTCCATGCAAATATCGGGCAATACCCTTAAAAACAATGTTGCTCATCGAATACAGAGATATCTGTGTGTAAATCTATTGAAACCCGCTTGAATTCCTTTGAACCCCAATGTACGCTGCGTACAGTGTGAACTCAACACAGGTGATCCGTTACTTCCAAACAAAGCTCAACAAAAAAAAGTGTTTGTGTAGATTGCTGAGGATAAGTCCGACAACTTTAATCCGTCAAAGGTTTAAAGGCTACTGTAGTACTGATTTAGCTCGGACACGCCAGTCTACAAATGGAGCTTAAAATTGCGGCTAAAGTCACAATAAAAACCAAAAATAATACCGAGTCCGAATTTAATGAATTTAAGCCGCGTCTCAAATTCGCCAAAAACCTATTTCAATTTAGCGCCGGTTTAATTCTTGAAACAATATTTAGTGGAACCAACCATATTTGAGCCGCGGCTCAAATTCTTTAAATTAGGACTCAGGACTCACAACGGTTCTGATCAATAATGTGTGAAGATATCGTAGAGAAAAGTGTTTAACTCTGACATCAAAGACCTCAGTAAATTTTGAAAGTTTAAAATTACATCTATTTCAGTATGAGTAAGCAATAGAAAAAATAAAGTGTACAAAGGGAAGAATCATCAAGAATCAGAGAGCTGCTGAAAGACTAAAATTATGATTTTAAATAGTTCAATTTACATAAAACAAAGCAATAGTACATTGTGCAGTGTACATGGAACCACTTCACTAAATACCCAATTATAAAGCGCGCTGGTTCTAAACTATTTACATTGTAACAACATATAATACACTCAGGGGCGTATTCAGGGGGGCAATGGGGGCTAAGCCCCCCCCCTGGACCAGTGAAATCTTTTGATTTCAGGGGGTTTTCAGGCCCCAACGGTTGCTGAGCACCCCCCTGGAAAGATAAAAAAAATATAAGCACCCCTGGAAAAATTCCTGAATACGCTTAATAATGCTATTCCACAGTTTTCTGGTTACTCTGTATATGTTTGAGTATACTGCAGGATAAAGCGGCTGAACAACCATCTAAAACCAAATTTATGTCGACGGCGGAAATTAAAATAAGATCCCAAAGTCCTAAAAATCGAAACCCAGCATTATCTATTGTAAATTAACTTTTACGTAAACTATATATGATATAGAAAAGTCAATACAAAATATATATATAGTTAGATGCAAGATAGATACAAACTTATATAGATACAACGTTAGAATGATACAACCTTAGAGAGATACAACCTTAGAGATATAAAACGTTAGAGAGATACAAGGATAGATATTCTACAACGTTAGATAGATACAAAGTTAGAGAAATAGAACGATAGATAGATACAATAGTAGATAGATTCAACGAAAGATAGATTCAATGTTAGAGATATAACGTTAGAGAGATAGAACGATAGATAGATACAACGTAAGATAGATACAACGTAAGATAGATACAACGTTAGATAGATACAACGTAAGATAGATTCAACGAAAGATAGATACAATGTTAGAGATACAACAAAAGATAGAAATAACGTATGATGAGAAATAACGATAAATAGATAAAACGTTAGAGAGATAGATAGATAGATACAACGTTAGATAGATTCAACAAAAGATAGATTCAATGTTAGAGATACAACGTTAGAGAGATAGAACGATAGATAGATACAACGTCAGATAGATTCGACGAAAGATAGATTCAATTTTAGAGATACAACAGAAGATAGATAAAACAAAGTGAGAAATAAAAATAGATAGATAATTCATAAAAGAGATACAACGATAGATTGATACGACATTAAATAGATAAAATGATAAATAAATACAACACTAGATAAAAAAAAAATCTTGACAATAGAAGCTTTTGATACAGGTTTTTTTTTATATTCTACTGAACAATATAAACCAATTATAATGCGCAGTTAAATAGTTTAAAGGATTCAATAAAACCACTCTCCACTAAACACTAATATATCTGGGGTCAGAGTACTGCAATTTACTGCAGAACGCACCGAAAGCTTAGGTAAGGGTGAAACTAATATATACATATAGATTTAAAAAAAAAAAACTTTATCTTTAAACATAGTTAAAAAAGACTTAAAAAAATATGATGGTGGTTGCAAACTTTCAGAGTCATCAAGGTGTATGTTAATTCGGTACAACAAAATTAAAGCACTTGCACTCCTGCATGCCAAGTTCATTAGCGCCTGATCCAATCAGGGTTCATTCATGTGTTTGTTCTCTATTCTGTACCAGTAGAAATATCTTTATATCTATCTCATTATCCAATTTTGGCATCCTTTCGTATATCTATCAAAAATAAAACTTACTGCAAAACTGATAACTACGAGCAGATTTCCAAATGTAGTGACGACAATACAAATTGCCATTGACACGGCGATCAGGACGGTCAAAGCCATACCAAATGGAGCAGGCCAGCATGCTGGTCCGCAATCCTAGATAAAAAATGTGGGATTTAACTTAATGAGATAAAAACAGTTTTAAAAAAGTGTATTATTGTTGATTTACTTGATCAATCAAAGAAATTCAAAGATTTTCTTGATTTGCTTGGAGAATTTCTAATAAGTTAAAAATCTGTAAAATAAAAAGTTCATCCGTTTTCACGTTTATATTGGATCCGAAAAAAAAACATACAAATAGTTTCCACAAAAAATTGGGTTTGGCGTTTCTTGAATTTGAATACAAACATTAAACAGATTCAAGATAAATAAGTTATAATGAATTAATGTTTTATGATTAATTAGTTATATTAGTTGAAAACTTGATAAGTTGCTAAGTTTTCAATTTTTTCAACTGTTCAAGTCAGATAATTTTTATTAAGAAAAAGAAGATTAATTTTCCTAAAAAAATAACTAAAAATATAAAAACTGCTAATATATAAAGAACAAAATTTCAAATAAAGGGATCAACAAATGTAGATATTAACAACAGGAGAGATCAAGGGATAGAAATAAAGGTAGAAGATTCCTTTAACTTGAGAGATCAAGGACTCAAAAAAAATGTAGATACTCATAACTGAAGAGATTAAGTGGTCGAAAGAAAGGGTAGATACGTTTATCTGGAAAGATCAAGGGATCGAAAAAAGGTTGATATCTTCAACAAGAAGAGATCAAATGGATCAAAAGATTAATAAGAGTAAAAAATATAATCAAACATAAAGGATGTCAAAAATCAGCGCGAATTAAAAAGATGCTTAAAAATACCCGTTTTTCATAGAACCTATATCTTTTTCACACTCCATAAAGCTTTTTTTTACTTTTTTTTTACATTACAAATTAATTTTTATTTCTAAAGTTGTTAGTTCATCGTCGAAAAATCCTAACAATCCACCACTAATTTAAATATAGTGTAAACAATAAATATGTAACTTTCCTTATACTTTCCTTTCCTTTTCCTTTTATTTCTAGTTTTATATTTTTTTTAGAATTGGGGGGAAATATTCCCACAACCTCTACTTTTAGAGGTTTTTAAATATTTTCTCCTGAAACACTTTATTTTGTATGTTTTTGTTGTATTTCATAAATAAATAATTTTTTACTTTTTACTTTTACTAGATACTTTCAACTAAACTGATCAAGGTCGAAAAATTGTAGATACTTACAACTGAAGGGATATAACTGGAGAGATCAAGGGTTCAAAAAAAGTGAATTCTTTCACCTTAAGAGATCAAGAACTCGAAGTAATGTAAAAACTTACAACTGGAGAGATCAATGGATCTACTGTTGTTAGATTAACACAATTTGAAGAATTCTGCCAAGTAGACAGCGGATCACAATCAGCAAGCTCTGTAGCGATTGAAGTAGCAAAAGTGACAACATCCTAAATAATGAATTCATTCAAAAAACATATATTCCAAAAGTTAAGAGTGTTTTCTTCAAATTAATCTGATTAAAGTTCAGATAAAATAATTAATTAAACGAAGTTAGATAATGTCCGACTTCTTTACTAAAATTAACCAGAATAAGTAGGTAAAGGAACTGAGTTTTTGTCACAAACTCAAAATGTCTAATCCCTTTATCTTTACAATCTGAAAATATAAACCTTTGTTATTTCAAACTTAGATTGTTAGGTCAAACGGAATTCATAGTTTGAAATATCAAAGGTCTACGACATTGGGTAGCAACGATAGAGAGATTAGAAAAGTAGAGTTTGTGACAAAAACTCATTTCCTTTAATTGTCTTTTTGTTTAAATGACGCATTAATATGATTTATTTTCAAGAATATATACTTTTTAGATCTAAGATGACTTTTAATGATAATTTGCATATATACATGGTAATTATATTCATTCATGTTGCAAGGGTCTAAAATCCCGAATCAGATTTTCTGGTTCAAGTCCAGATCAAAACAGATTATGGGTTTAGCGTTGTTTATTGTTTTGGATCGTTTTGGATCGTTTTAGATCGTTTAAGATCGTTTTAGATCGTTTAAGATCGTTTAAAAGAATAATTAAACTTCCAAGATGTTAAACTTTTGTTTTTTACAGTTTACTTTTATTCAACTTTGCAATACTATTATCCTTAAATACTATTATCCTTAAATACTATTATCCTTAAATACTATTATCCTTAAATACTATTATCCTTAAATACTATTATCCTTAAATACAAAGGAAATTGCTTCGTTTTTGAATCGTTTTTTTGAATCGTTTTTTTGTATTTTTTCTGTCAGGGTCCAAGTTTGACATAATATAAGAAAAGAAAATGTTTAAAATATTAAATTTAAAAACATTTGCTACTCCTTCACTTTGCCAAATTTTGACCCTGAAAGCAAATATGTGCAAAAATGACCCACAAATGAACCAGCTAAAGGCACATCACTACCTGAAGCACCTGGTCACCACCTGAGCAGATATCTTCAAATCTAAAATATTTATTGTTAGAACAAGTCCTCTTATTGTGTTTAACATTACGCAAATGACCCCCGACAGTTCGAATTATCGGCAGATCCATGAGATTACAAATATATCAGAGATGAGATTTTAAAAGCTTAAACCCGACTAAAACCCGGTCTTTGCGTCTGCTTAGACCCAAGTAAAGCTCAAGTCAAGATCCGGGTTTTAGATGGCCTTGAGTTTAGTAAGAACCGACCATCTAGGGTTTTTCTCTCTTTAAGGCTTGAGTCTTTAGTAGCTGATGATCGTAAATTTCGTAAAATCTTTTATATTTGTACATTTAAAATCTCGTAAATTATTTGTGGTGTCAAATTTTTTTGATCATTTAAAATAAACCTACTATGAAAATAATGTATCTACATAAAGTTTGAATTTTCGAAATTTACATGTCCTTGTCAAAGCTGAGGCCGTTCCTTCCATAAACTACATTGGTCGACAACTTGACGTCTCCTATTTTGGTCGTGAAATGTACGGAGAAATATCTATCTATCAGATAAGAATTTAGCACGAGACATCTAGCGGCCAACATATCGTCCCCCAAAGTTCGTGAAATACACGACCACTTTCTATGGAGAGAATGGGCTCTGATCTGACCGCATTCTGTCTGCTACAGAGAGAAAGCTTGCAACAAGTCTCTCATTGGTCGAATCAGAACCAATCCTGACTTTGGTTCTATCTAAGCCCGAGTTTGGGGTTTAGTCGGGTTTAAGCTTTTAAAATCTCATCTCAGGCCTCATCGGTTGAATAAAGGGGCCTCTATAAAAGAAACCTTATTAAACTTTATATAACTAATATCTTCACTTCTGGATTGGCTTTCAAAATGCTGAAATCAAGAAGAGTAGTGTAGATATTTGACTGTTTTTTATTCAGAGCATAGCAAATTTTTCTAAACGTTTTTTGAAAAACTTTTTCACATTTTTGCGACAATGGTTGAATAAAATTGCACACTGCTCGAAAAAAACGCTTGTATATTATATGATGTATATTGCATATTATATATTGTATATTGTATATTGTTGATGGTATATTGTAAATTGTATATAGTTTATAGTATATTGTATATTGTATATTGTATATTGTATATTGTATATTGAATATTGTATATTGTATATTGTATATTGTATATTGTATATTGTATATTGTATATTGTATATTGTATATTGTATGCTGTATATTGTATATTGTATATTGTATATTGTATATTTGTTAATATATATTTAATCTTAATTTGTTTCCTGGAAAAGGGTAATTTTTAGATTTATAATTGTATATTGTATATTGAATATTGTATATTGTATATTGTATATTGTATATTGTATATTGTATATTGTATATTGTATATTGTATATTGTATATTGAATATTGTATATTGTATATTTCTATGCGATTTGATTTATTTTGTGGTAAAAAAGTTATAGGACATTAAACATAACTTTTGTGACAACAATTTTGTCCATTTACACTAATTATTTAGTCACACTGTCACGCTTCAAGTGTGTCACAATATAAATTTTACAATCAGACAAAAATATTTTCTCCAAAAAATTCAATTTTAGTATTAATTATAGCTTATTTTTATTTAATTGGTATCGTATTGTCTTCTTTCATATCGTAGATTTGCATAAATTTTCTTCAAAAGTTTCTAATTTTAATGCTTTGTAGTTAAAAGTGCAGTTTTGCAGTGAAAAAAGTGATGAACTAAAAAGTTTTGACAACTGCACAGTTATATAACGATTTACTAATTTTGCACATTTGAAAAGAAAGATATTCAGATTTAAAGATTAATAAAAAAGTTGCTCATTTAAATGTATTAGTTGCATACTCGAAATACTCAAACCAATCCAATCGTTGCATGATCCAAACTCCAAACTTATAGACTCGTACCAGTCGGTCTAGCTTAATGGTATATAGGGATTGTAAGCGTATTTTCAAGTGGCCGGAGCTCTCTGGTAGACTCTCCGCCTTTCAATCGCCTCATACGACGAGTTAATCTTACATCTTCTGACCCTTCATGAAAGCTAACTCCATTTTCTCCTTTCAAGCCGTGGCTCATGGCTTGAATTTAAATAGATTTTTGGGCAACGGTGGCTTCAGTTTCCCACACGTTTAAACATGCCTTCAATTCATGTTTTCTGGTTTGGCGTTTCCCAAAGAAACAAACATTTCTCCACGTTATACATGAGGTGACTTATTATCCGCCCCAGTCCGACCTTTAACTATAACAAAAGAACTGTTATGTTGTCTTGGTTATAGGCCGGACTACTCGCAATCCAAGCTTAGCTCCAGGTCCATATGAGGACTGAGGGGGTTACCTCAAGAGAACTATACAATCTGAGTTTAGCTCCGGGTTTGTATGAGACCTGAAGGGGTTATACATCAATAGAACTATACCTATTCCGAGCTATTGAGCTCATACTGTTTACATCTTAGCTAATTCATACGTCTTACATCAGACAAAACTTTTACGGGTACGGTTGTAAATCGGACATTGCCATGGGTCACTTGAAATTATGCTTACAGTCCCTTTTAACACCAGCTATTTGGCATTAGCATGTTTATTGCACAAAATATAGACAGGCCTGGTCTATTAGTAGAATGACTGTAGTGTACCTGCCCTGATGTATAGTGCACAAGCTGGCGCATTCCTTTAGTTCTTCGTCATCAGTTGACCCGCACAGCCGCCGCAGTTTCCTAACAAATCATAAATATATTATTAGAAATATTCTAATGTTATTTTTGATCTTTAACCAAAAACCAAAAAAAAACATTTATCTAAAACTTAATAGAATTAGGTAATAAGGCTCCAATTCCACACTCCTTTAATTGCCTACTTTCTAATACTAAGAAAGTCTCCTTTTTTTAATGCAAGAAAGGCAAAAGATTAAAACATAATTTATTTTGCTTTGGAATCAGAGGATCGTTCACCATTCTGTAAAACTTCTCAAGCATTTAGATTTTTTAATATCTCTCTCTCCCTTTTTTTAAATCCTCTTAAACTTACTTAAATTTAGACTTTAAAAAGGCGTTTGACTGAAAAATATTTTTTTAAAGATTAGTAAAAAATCATAAATCTTTTCAGCTCAAATACTAAACTTTTATTAATGATAAGTTTTTAAATGTAAAATGATCAATTTTGAAGATTTTTTATATTTAAGGCAGCTTTTACCTATAGATATGCCTTGTTTTAGGAGGATCACTTTCTGATTGATTTAAATATCCGATTAAAAACTGAGATTTTGGACCCTCAACCGACAAATTGTTCAACCGATCAGAATCTTTTAACGAGTTAATTGTCCAATCAGAGCTGTCTAGAGAATTATTCATCCAATGAGAGCTTGGCATTGAACTCTGCCAATCAGGACTATCAACCGTGTTTGTCCAATCAGAACCCTCCTTTCTTTTTGGCCAATTAGGGATGGAGGTATATCCATTTTCCGATGTTAAGAAAGTGCGAGGGGTTTGGGGGTTTTGATGATGAGATGGGTATGGGAGGTGGCTTTGGGGAACCAATACTGTATATGTGAGGAGGGTGAGGGGAACCATGGGACTGAATGGGAGGGGAAACCCCAAATGGGAGGTGTTAGATAGCAACATGAATTCAACTTTCTCTCTACATTATAGATAATCTGAAAACTTTAAAATTTAAACTTTCCAAGATAAATTTTAAACTTTAGGTAAAGACCTTCAGGCTTGAAAATAAATATTTTAAAAATTATTTTAGAAATTTTCTATTTATAAAAAATATTTTTCGCTTCAATATTAATAAACAGAGTAATATTTAAAAGTCGATTTTTTTAATGTTCACCATAGCAAAACAAGGTAAAAAAATTATCTACAGCATTGTTATCTTTCTCTGCTAAAGGAGGATCTCAAACAAATTCTAAACTTCGAGTCTAATATTTGGACTATTTGAATTTTTTGTACATAACATGGAGGACGAATTATTTTAAAAGCTGGAATCATATTCTACTAGATCTACTCATATATACAAGTTACAAGTGGTCAAAACCATAATGAAAAATTTTTTTTGAAAATTTTTTTTAGGAAATAAATGGAGAAAATTCTGTAAAATGCTGTATTTTTTACACAGTTTGATCTGAGCTGAAACTTTAGAATATCCTTAATCCAGATCGGTTAATCAATCTAGAGATTAATTACAAGAGGAGAACAAGCATTATTTTATCTTGAGATTAAGAAAAAGAGTGGATCAAGAATTAATCCCGACATGCGCCATTCAAACGTTCCCAGCTCTGTTTTAGGGAGATCCGTAATCTTTTTAGTCCTAGGTATAGCCATGGTTGTTTTGGGAATTATAAAATGTCAGACAAAAAGTAAGATATTGTGAGATTTTCTTATTCAACATTTCGTATTTTTCATCCAATTAGGCTCAAAATGAAAAAATCGAGTTTTAAAAATCACCCTGTAATATTGCTGATGTAGAATATATTGTTTGAACTCATTAAAAACCATTTTATTCGAAGTATTTCAATTTTTGTATTTTCTGTTCGTTGTGAATTATACAATAAATAACATTTCAATGTAAAAGTCAGAATAAGTCTGATTTTCTAGAATAAAATATGCTAAATGGAATAGTTATTTTAAATCTATGTTTCAAATGTCAGCTTAAAAAAAAGAAAATATCATTTTTTATTTCAGCAAATCACGTAAAGATAGAAAATATTAAAAACAAGAGTTATAAGATTTTTTAAAAATAATTCCGAATTTTTTTATTTTTTCATTTTAGGAAGATAAAGAACTTTCACAGTCATGATTTATCAAAATAAATAAGTATTTCAGTAGTATGTTTGCTGTTTAAATTAAAGTTTAAATTTCATTTAGTAAAAGGATTTCGTGTTACATGTTACAACTTTTCAAGATTTTATATATGCAAGAAAGGAATTAAGTTTTTGTCACAAACTCTGATTTTACTATCCCTATATCTTTGCATTTTAATGTCAGAGACATTAGATATTTCAAACTATGAAATATTTTAGATCAAATAATAATAGTTTGAAATATCAAAGGTTAACACCATCAGGTTGCAAAGATATAGCGATTTGAAAATCAGAATTTGTGGCCAAAACTCAATTCCTTTAGATCTTTTTGATATTTTTAGGAGATACATAATAAATGCTTCATTTTTTTATTCGAGATCAAAATACAATATTCAAGAACCAAAAACAAGATTAAAGAACCAAAAATACAAGATTCGATAACCAAATACAAGATCCGAGAACCAAATACAAGATCCGAGAACCATATACAAGATTCAAGAACCAAATGCAAGATTCAAGAACCAAATACAAGATTGAAGAACCAAATACAAGATTCGAGAACTAAATATAAGATTTAAGAACCAAATACAAGATTGAAGAACCAAATACAAGATTTGGAACTAAATATAAGATTTAAGAACCAAATACAAGATACAAGAACCAAATACAAGATTCAAGAACCAAATACAAGATTCAAGAAACAAATACAAGGTTAGAGAACCAAATACAAGTTACAAGAACTAAATACAATATTCTACAACTAAATATAAGATTTAAGAACCAAATACAATGTTAGAGAACCAAATACATGATTCAAGAACCAAATACAAGATTCGAGAACTAAATATAAGATCTAAGAACCAAATACAAGATTCAAGAACTAAGTACAAGATTCAAGAACCAAATACAAGGTTAGAGAACCAATACAAGATTAGAGAACCAATACAAGATTAATTTCTCCACTTCTTTAATCAATTATTCATTACGGTAAAGGGATTTTTTCTAAAAACAATTCAAACTATAAAATGTCATTTTTACTAATTCGAATTTTTTAAGATTAATAATTCATGTTCAGGATAAAAAAAAGGTTTTTCAAGTTCCCCTTAAAATGTGAACAGATTTTTTTATAACATTTAAGTTTAGAGACCTTAAATTAAATTTATAAAGATTTATTACGATGTTAACTTAAACTTAACTTATTATTAGTATATTGTTTTAATAACTGTGAGACCAAATTTATGTCACAGCGTTTTTATTAAATTCAGTTAACTCTGAACTTATTTACTTAGATTAAAATCAATTTCAGTGCAAATGATAAATTTGTGATTATCACATATATTATTTATGAAAATAAATCCAACTTGTTCCCTACTGTAGTTAGTTATTAATGTCTTCAATTCATGACGATCATTTATTTACTTGCAAATCAGACTGAACCAGTTCTAAGTACGACTTTGTGACCTCGTAAACAGCTCCACAAGTTTTTTCACGCACAATTTTTTAAAAAAGTTTAATATATTAAAATATAAAAGTTAATTTGATGATTTCAAGTTAGTTCATTCTTATTATGAAAATTTAATTACACTATTTGTGAAAAAAAAACTTTTTGGATTATTTTTGGATCTACGAATTATCTGATTTTTGGATCTACGAATTATCTGATTTTTGGATCTACGAATTATCTGATTAATTTCCAACAAAATATAATCAAGATTTGTTACTTCCGTCGAATTTTATTTTAAAAAATCAGTTTCTAAATTTCAATTTTCAAAACGCTAAATAATCCAGGTTGTTCTGTTATTGGTAAAGGTACAAAATATGCTGGGTTATAGGTCCATAATATACCCGTCAAGATATCTTGTGCATAATTTACGTCAAACCAAGTGGGGTTTTGCTAACAAACCAGTATTCTAAAAAATGATATTTACCGTACATTCGACAATTTAAAAAATACAAGGTATAAATATTAATTTATAGATTAAGAAATCATAATTCATGAAATTAACAGTAATTATTAATAAAATCTAAGAAATATAAAAGAAAAGCCGTTATTTTGGAAAATGCGATTGTTGAAAGAAAGTTTTGAATCAAATTCTGCTTTAGTGACATTTTTGAATCGTACAATAACACATTTTAGTAGTTTAAAGAAGCATTAATTTTATTCTAATAATTCAGCGCTTTATGTTTATAATTCTCGAAAAATGTTACTTTCCCTACAAAAAATGGATTTTGAGATATTTTGAAAAGGTCCCCCCCCTCCCCCCGCTTATCGCGAGCAAACACTACCCCCCCCCTTACTTGCACCCTTTTTGCGTTGAGGAAACGATAAAAATGAAAGGATTTTCAAACAACACTGAACAATCCCACTGTTCAGTGTTCAATACATAAACACTTTAAAACAGTCTACAGCTCCTACAGCTTCCCTCATTTTTAAATTTCGCTTTATTTTTGAAAAAAAATGAGGGAAGATAGTAGCTATTTTTCTTAGTAAAATTATCATATTTTACCGTACTTCAATTCGTAAAGATCTTTCATTAATGTAGATCATGTTGTTTTCGTTGTTTTTTTGAAACCTAGAAATATATTTTCTTTTAAAGAGAGTTTTTGACATTTTATTTATCCATCTATGGTTTTTAATCAAAATATTTGAAAATCTTGGAAAATGATTATAAGAAGATAATTTTTTTTATAAAAAAAAGAAAAAAACACCCGAGAATTTGTATTCAAGGTGGACGGCAAAGGAAGTTATTATTTTAACGAGAGTATCGATGAAGACTGTGATCTGTAGGTTTTTTTTTCGTCGGATCGTCCGACTCCGGTAGCAAAGTTTAGTATGGAGTGTGGAGGGTTCGGAGTAGAACTGATACATTGATACACCTGGAGTAAAACTGGGAGGCTAGAACTATACTCTAGGTATACTAAACACCACTAATCATATACACGCAGAGAATTGTTGACAGAGCTTAAAATAATTAGATTTGATCTTTTTTGAACAATGTCCTTAGTTTTCATTCTTGTATTCATTCTTGATAATTTACCTTCAGAAGTTAACAAAATAAAAATAAAAAGAAAAAAAAATAAACTAAATTTTAAGAGTAAACTTCATTTAAAAATAAATAAAACTGGCAAATTATGGTTCATCAACATGGATTAACTAAAAAAAATTTTAAAGTTTTTAAAAAATTAGAAAAAAAAAAAAAAAAAAAAAAGATTTCAACAAAAGTGTTTCCTTACCACTGCATGATAAAATCGTCAGTTATTACATTTCTGCCACCCCCAGACCCAGACCCGGCCTAGAGACAACCAAATTAAATAAATAAAAGCCAATACTGAGGTCGAGTCCAAGATTAAAAATTACTTATTTTAGGTCGTCTTCAAATTACAATTATTTTTGACAGCCACTGCATGTTCAAATCTCATATAGACTAATCATCTTAGTTTTGTAATAATTTTCATTTACGAATTAAGATTTTCTTTACTATTCCTAAAAGTTTAAAACTAAATACTGAAACTATTTCATCGAAAAGGGATTTTTTACGATTTTAATTTTCTGAATTCAATGTTTCAAGACAAATATTTTTTATTCATTTAAAAATATTTTTTCCCGCTTACATTAATGTATTTATCTATACAAAAAAAAGTTAAGTTATGAAAAAAAAATTTGAGCATTTTTATTAGCAAAGTGTCCCATAGTTCATCCTTAATTAAAATTGCTCCAATTCATCATTTTAATCATTAATATAAACATCAAATTTAAATGTATTCTATTATTAACCCCTGATCGGAATAGTTAAAAAAAATGATTTATATAAATAATATATTTTACCTGATCCGACATCTCCGCCATTTTGCACTTTTTAAAATATTAATTAATTAAGGTTTTTCGTTCTTTTCTCTTTTCCAGAAAACAGACCTAAAAAATATCTATTAAATTTCACATTAAAGAATAATAATAAAAATAAAAAAGTATCTGAATTTTATAACATATTTATTACATAGAAAAGGAGTCTCAAACCTTGAGCTAAACTTGAACCCTCATGTCCCAAACCTTGAGCTAAAATTGAACCCTCATGTCCCATCACAAAACTGGAGTTAAACTTGAACCCTCCTGTACCAAACCTTGAGTTAAACTTGAATCCTCCTGTCCCAAACCTTAAGTTAAACTTGAACCCTCCTGTACCAAACCTTGAGTTAAACTTGAATCCTCCTGTCCCAAACCTTGAGTTAAACTTGAACCCTCCTGTACCAAACCTGGAGTTAAACTTGAATCCTCCTGGCCCAACCCTTGAGTTAATCTTAAACCCTCCTGACCTAAACCTTGAGTTAAACTTGAATCCTTATGTCCCAAACCTGGAGTTAAACTTGAATCCTCCTGTCCCAAACCTGGAGTTAAATTGAATCCTCCTGTCCCGAACCAACAATGTTGTTCTTCCTCGAGTCTGTATTCGAGGCCAGTGGCTCGAGAGGTTTCGTGATTCTAAAAAAAATATTTATTAATGAAAAAAGTTGAGTCTGGGAAAATTCATTAACGTTGGAGCACTATCAAAACCGTCTTTACCGGAGACCCCTCCAATAATTTCAGCGATAAACCCAGCTTTTACCGGAGACCCCTCCAATAATATCAGCGATAAACCCAGCTTTTACCGGAGACCCCTCCAATAATATCAGCGATAAACCCAGCTTTTACCGGAGACCCCTCCAATAATTTCAGCGATAAACCCAGCTTTTACCGGAGACCCCTCCAATAATATCAGCGATAAACCCAGCTTTTACCGGAGAACCCTCCAATAATATCAGCGATAAACCCTAGCAAGATTTTCTTGAGAGGCCCTCAGATATTCGTTGAATGCCCTCCAATTGTTTTAGAGAAACCAAATAACATTCAGGGAACCCAAGCTAATTCAATTGGAAGCCCATGGTTTCAACACAGGCCCTAGGCTGTATAATAGCGGAGAACAAAATTGGGGCACTAACAAATCATCTGCTGAAAAACTATCAGCTGAAAACCATCGGCTGAAAAAAACATTAGTTGACAAACAATCATCTGCCAACCCATCAGCTGAAAAATCATCAGCGAACAAATCATCAGCTGACAAACCAACAGCTAAGAAATTTGACAAACCATAAGCTGAATTACCATCAGCTGACAAATTGTTAGCTGACAGATCATCAGAAGACAAACCATCAGCTGACAAATCGTTAGCAGCCCAACTATTAGCTAACACATTGTTAGCTAACAAACCATCAGCTGACAAACTATCAATGAACAAATCATCAGCTGACAAACCATCAGCTAACAACCAAGCTGACAACCCATCAGCTGACTAACCATCAGCTGACAAATTATCAGCTGACAAACCATCAGCTGACAACCAAGTTGACAAACCATCAGCTAACAACCAAGCTGACAAACCATCAGCTGACTAACCATCAGCTGACTAACCATCAGCTGACAAACCATCAGCTAACAACCAGGCTAACAAATCATCAGCTGAAAAATCTTAGTTAACAAATCAGCTGTAACCTTGAGACAAAAAATTTTTTTTTTTTTTTTTTTTCCTGATATTCTGATATCTCCTGATATATTCTGGTATGTCCTGATATATCCTGATATTCTGATATATCCTGATATTCTGATATATCCTGATATTCTGATATATCCTGATATATTCTGGTATATCCTGATATTCTGATATATCCTGATATATTCTGGTATATCCTGATATATTCTGATATATCCTGATATTCTGGTATATCCTGATATTCTGATATATCCTGATATATTCTGGTATATCCTGATATTCTGATATATCCTGATATTCTGGTATTTCCTAATATATTCTGGTATATCCTGATATATTCTGGTATATCCTGATTTATTCTTCTGATATATCCTGATATATCCTGATATATTCTGATATATCCTGATATCTCCTGATATATCCTGATATATTCTGGTATATCCGGACACTATTAGAATTATTACATAAATAATAAGTTATAATAAATAAATATCCAGGGAAGGGGAAGGGGGAGGGACTAACTTGACAAGTAACAAACTTTATCATTTAGACCCCATAATAGATAGATAAATAGATAGGTGGATAGATAGATAGATAAATAGATAGATAACTAGATAGGTGGATAGATAGATAGATTGAATATACTATAGATTATACAGGGTTACTTACAAAAGAAAAGAATTTAATGAAGACTTTATATTTTGAAAATATGACAAATTCAAAGTTAATTGAACATGTTTTTAAATGGCCTTTTTAATTATTTGGCAAAGAGTGCATTTACGGTTGCAGGGAATTATAAATGTAAGAAAATGGACAGTATAAATTTCGGGTAGTCGTCTCTGAAGTCTCAATCTTTATGGGTAACCCTGTATATAGTATTCTTTAAGAAAACATTTCTAATTTTCACCATGCAAATTCTTACTGTGTATTTTAGGAAACATTCCAATTTATCGTGAGATAGATTTTAAATTATTTCTTTGATTTGGTTTAGATTGGTTCTTTCAGGCTTAAGAGATCTTCAATCTGAAAACCTTTTATCATCGTATTTCCATTTAAAGGTTGACACTTTCAACAGATTTGTCTAAATCTATAAATATCTAAATCTAAAAATTCAGGACGATATGAGACTTGGTGGGCCATTATTTCAAGCTTGAATATATACGGTAAACACCATTAAACTGTGGAATGGGAAGACGATATTCAAACAATCTTGTTTTTTTTTGTCAACGCTACCATATGTAGCTTGAAAATCAGTAGTTTTTACCCTGCAGTAGTTTGAAAATCAACTTATTAAGTGATATGGGATTTCTCATGTGTTTTTTTGTTTATTTCATATTTTTATTCTACTACAAAGCACGAGATAATACAAATAAAAATCCCAATTTTCTTTGTAGACTGGACTATTTTAATCATAACTTGATACTAACAGCTTTGTCATCCTTTTTTCTATTAAACCTATCCTGGCTGGGATATTTTTGTCTAATATGGCTATGATTTTGCCCGACGCCTGTAGTCCAACTTTTCAAGACTTGCTCATAAAAAAAAAGAAATTAGACCAGATTAAACTTTTATGGTTAGAGTGCAGGGGAGGACCGACCCGCCTTTTGACTGTCCTCCGGCTCCATGCTACCCTATAATGCGTCAAAAAAATATTTTAGCAAAATTTGTTCACAACTTTGCTGTTGAAAAGTGAAGAAGTTTAAGCCTTCTTCTTATTCTGATTGAGGTCTCCCTACAATAGACCCCACACTGGGTTGGTTCATCAACACTTTAATTGAGTTTTTGTTAACCTCACAGTACTGATCATTATATCTTATCCTCACAGTACTTATCATTATATCTTATCCTCACAGTATTATTATTATATCTTATCCTCACAGTACTTATCATTATATCTTATCCTCACAGTACTTATCATTATATCTTATCCGCACAGTACTTATCATTATATCTTATCCTCACAGTATTATTATATCTTATCCTCCCAGTACTTATCATTATATCTTATCCTCACAGTACTTATCATTATATCTTATCCTCACAGTACTTATCATTATATCTTATCCTCCCAGCACTTATTATTATATCTTATCCTCCCAGTACTTATCTTTATATCTTATCCTCCCAGTACTTATCATTATATCTTCTCCTCCCAATACTTATCATTATATCTTATCCTCCCAGTACTCATCATTATATCTTATCCTCCCAGTACTTATCATTATATCTTATCCTCACAGTACTTATCATTATATCTATTCCATAATGTAAAGAAAGCAGGATATACCACTAATTTAGACTTTAACTTAATTTAAATTGTAAAAAGAGAATTTATTTTTAGATTTAATTCTAACTTGAAAAGTTTTTTTTCTCAAAATTTCCTCTATGGTTTCCTTAGTAAATCCACAAATGAAAATAAAGCTTTTTAGATAATTCAAAATCCTAGATATCTCATCTTAACTCTTTATTAGAAAATTTTTTAAGGGTTCGGATATGCTCTCGGCGGACCTATTGACTATTGTCTATTAAATAATGCTGAAGTTATCTTTGTTTTCAACATTTTCAACATTTTTTCCGCCAGAAAATGGAAAATGTTTCTGAACCGTTTATTATCCGTCCTTGCAAACTCCGATTAATGTCAAGTATAGGGCCGACTTTTAATCAGCTAGCGAAAGCTTTACAGTAAAATTTTAGACTTTCTAAGACAGACCGGGACGGTACGCCAAATGATCCCCTTCTAGTGAAATTTTCGTGCCTTTAACTGAAAATTTCTATGAGAGTTCCATTAACGTGTAGTTTTTGTAATATTCCTTCAGGGCTTTACATTTTAAATGAGTAAACTCTGTGAAAACCAAAAGGATTTATTTCTATTGCTAACTAGCTCCTTCATGTGTGTGTGTGTAGTGTGTGCCTGTGTTTTAGAGATGGGCAAAGTTATTTTGTTTGTTCGTGTATGCTTACAATACTACAAAACTGACATAATAAGGTACACTTTACACTGTACACTGTAAACTGCACACTGTACACTGTAAACTGCACACTGTACACTGTAAACTGCACACTGTACACTGTAAACTGCACACTGTACACTGTAAACTTCACACTGTACACTGTACACTGTACACTGTCTACAGGGTTTCCCACGAAGGAAGATACCGCATGATGATCCCGAGGTTAAATTAAGTGTTTTGCGTTAGTATTTTTATTAGTTAGTCTTTTAATTAGTTAGTATTCTAATTGTTAGTCTTCTAATTAGGTAGTCTTCTAATTGGAAAGTCTTTTTATAAGTTAGTCTTTTTATTAGTTAGTATTTTTATTTGTTAGTAATTTTATTAGTCAGTATATTTATTTGTCAGTATTTTTATTAGTCAGTATTTTTATTAGTTAGTATTTTTATTAGTTAGTATTTTTATTAGTTAGTATTTTTATTTGTGAATCTTCAAATTTGTTAGTATTCTAATTAGTTAGTCTTCTAATTGCTTATTTAATGATTTGGTCAACGTTTATTTACAGTTGCGAGGAATCTAGAATATTAGGGAACAGGCAGTACAGTATATATTATTATTGTCAGTATGGTTGAAAAGAAGAAAATGATAAATATTCAGAATTATCAGAAAAAAAACAGGTTAGATGAATACGCTTGAATAAGCAATAAATAAATTTGCAGAGAGTGCAATATTAAATTAACATCTGAGAATGTGAAACCTATGCCCATCTATATTAGAATACAAGGCATGAATAAGATTTATCTAAGGAAGGTTGGAACCTTGTCTCCGGGAGAACTAGGAGTAGGATGAGAGAGCCAACTTATCTTAACCAATCCGGATAATCTAATCTAACCGTTAACCAGGGAGATTTCCCACATTTTTACATCAAAAAATTACTTTGCAGACAAAACCTTTGCTTTTATTTAATAAGAACCATTCTTTGAGTTTGAATTCGTGACAATTAGTTG